AGTTCCATCTCAAACATTAAGATAATCAATGAATATAACGTACACTTATATTTAACATTTACCAATAAACACGCGACACACGTTTTCCTCACTAGTGCCTAAAAAAAGGCTCAACTAGGGCCAAATTAGACTCTTTTGATTTCACGTCCGAACGATCACTGTTCATGGGATGATTTTGAATGTGTCTAGAATAGCTTTTTATTATGATGTCAAATTCAAATATCAAATGCTATTTGCTTCAAAATTTCCAAACTAAAATTCATCAATGACAATTAAAAAGAAAGTAATACTTTATAGCATCATTGATGTTAAAATACCAGTTTAGATGACACTAATGTGATATTAAATGAGAGGTATAATTAAATGAATTACTTAATTTTGTTTAGATGACACTAATGTGATATTAAATGAGAGGTATAATTAAATGAATTACTTAATTTTATCACTCAGTGTCGCCTAAATTGATATTGTAATACCAATAATACCAGATAACATTATTTTTAATCAATACAAACACCATTTATGACATTTAATTGAGCAGGGCTTTAAACCTTTTTGGTGTGCTCGCGTGTTATTATTTTTTGATTGTGCTACATGTATATTATATCTTACAAATTTGTTTGACGATAGATGATGTAGCGAAATTTGATTGAATCATTGAATCAAAGTTTCATCAATCAAATAAAAAAAAATACTTTCTTACTTTTCTTTTCTTTTTGACACTTCATTAATCTGGAAAAAAAATTAGGTAAATTCGAGCACAACAAACATTTTTCAATATTATGTGAACTATGCTATTTGGACATTAATTTTTGACACTTTGATTGATGCTTGAATATTGTCATGTGTCAATTAGATGGAAAAATTATTTAAAATTTATAAGCCCTGTTTGATCCTCATTACCCGAAAATGAAAATGGAGGGAATAGTATTTTTTAGAAAAATGAGTGGTTGAAAAAGAATGAAAAATTTTCGATTTACGTGTAATATTATTTTATGGAAGATTGTGTGGTTGAAAATAGGAGAGAGAAAAATGAAATGTAATATAATGTAATGGAAAATTCTAAATGTACACAAACGAATCCCGAATGTTTTACACAATGCTGACGTGGCGATACATTTGAACTCAAAAAAACGTCTACAGTGGTCAAAATATCTCTCTCTTTCCTCTCTCTTCATTTAACAGGAAATGACAATTTACAATGAATGCTGACAATTTCTCTCTCTTCAGACGTCTCCGTCTCTCTGTGGGTAGGATTCAACCTTTCACAGTTTACAATGAAAATTCACAATCTCTTTGTTAGACTCTCTCTTTCTCTCTAACGACGGGCCGAAATCCCTCTCTGCAACAGTGGATTTGTATTCGAGACGAAAACTTCCTTCAAACGCCGACGGTGAGGAGAACGGGGAAGACGACGACATCACAGTATTTGAAATAGCTCCTTCAAGTTGAGATCTGAAACGATTTTCATATCCATTTTTGGTATTATTTTAACAAAGCAGATTATTCAAAACTTATATAGAAAAACAAAATTACAATAAAGCATTTTAGTTAATTGAATATTGAAAAAGTTTGAAAGGCATTTTTCTTTGGTCTGTGCGGAATTATTTTAATTTCTGCGAATAGTTGACGGTCTACAATTTTTTATTTTTTTTTCCTTGCGAGATCTATAATGTTCTTTTCAGTGGCAATAATTTAATGTCTTGGTCATATGATGATTGTATATTCTTGCATATTCGCGTTTTGGGGTAAATTATTTCTAATAATATTTGAACATTTTCTATCAATTACTCTGATTCTTATTACAAAATTACGACACTGAATAGTTTTGTTTTTATATATCTTTTGAAGTCTAGTGAGAACTTTGGTCCATTAACGTTGATTTGCTTGTGCATATCTCTTATGTGTCGTGATTTAATAGCAAAAGCATATCCTTTGTGCTACTTCATGTCTTCCTCATTGTATTTATGCCGAGTTGAGGAAATTTTAGATTTATTTATTGAATTTGTATAAAAGCAAAGTTTATATGAGAAAAGTAAATTTGTGTCCAGTGTTTGAATTGATATTAAGGCAGTTCTCTCCTCGTATCATTTGAATATCATCCTTACTTGGTTTGCCCGGTGTTAATGTATCTCGAGTTTAAATGATTTATTTTTCATAATCTGAACACTGAAGAAAAATATAATGTAGTACTTGCAGTCATCTACACCAAAGTTCCACTTCAATTTAGATTGCAAACACCCCAGTTAGATAGAATTTTTTTGACATTTTGTTTATTTACCTTTCCATTTGGCCCTTCTTTCGCTATAGAAACCAAATGATGTGATATCTATTTGCATTCACTTCAATTAATGTGTTGTATGTATAGTTAGAATGAACTTTCAAAACTTCAAATGTAAAGAGAATAAAAGGTTAATTTAAGGCACTATGTAATTTGCTTTTTGCACATCTTTCATGTGTTACAGTTACTTTTATTTCAACAAGCATATATAGTATGTACATTTCATTTTTTGGCACTTGATTAAATTTTTTAATGTCTCTGTTCTTTACTCAGATTCAATATTTTTGTCACTTGATTAATTGTTTTTATTGGATTAGGATTGTTATATGGGTGGCCAAAACAGGGGATTATGTCATTCTTGTAGGATTGCGGGACACATGTTGCCGGAATGTCCAAAAAAGATTAAATGTCCAAACTGTGGTGAGGGCTTCGTTAGGTGGTTGGAGGTAGAAAAGAATTCGGATAATAAAGGGTTGTTGTTCCATAGTTGTACCTGCAACTGTCGGCTTTTCAAGTTTTCTAACATTGCGCCGTATAAAGAGTATTCATTGCAAGGTGAATCAAGTGGCACTACCAACAGAAGTGAACCGGTAGACGATTTGTCCCGTATGTTGACGATGTGTGCAAAAATAACCGAGGAGAGAAACTTAGAGATTTCATTCAACATCACCATACGCAAAGGGAAACGAGTTTTCGGAAGATGTAGAATGAAATATATGTAATTGAGTAGCTTCGAGTTATTGTAATTAAAATTGCAGTGATGGCTGTCTTTGGAGCACATTTTCTGTGAAGTTGTCTTGATGTATGTAGTGAACTATTACAAGTGTTGTCAATCAAATTCCATGTTGCAGTACATTGCTTATTTGGTTGTCTACCCAATTATGTTGCCGTACTTACAATGTTGATCTTATTTTAACATTCTGCATTTGATACCTTTGACCTTTATGTAAATAAACAATGTATAATTTTTTGTCCACGTGTAATTTATTCGCATTGAATTTTCAATTTGGGTTTAATATAGATTCGTTAATCTGTATAGTGATAACAGTTTCTTGTAACTGTAGAATCTGATACAATTTGTCACTTGATGGATGTCTCGTCTCTATTATAGCTTGTATGTATTGGATTTGCAGGTTCCTCAAATTGGATACCAATCGATAAGAGCGGTTGCTGTTTTCTTCTAGTTATCGAAGCATTTTATGTATTTTACTTTATTTCCTTGTTTGGTCAAGAATTCAACTATAAATACGAGTCGGGCTATTGATGAATTAAATATACAATATTTCCTCTCCTAGTTGCTCTTCTTCCTCTCTTCTCCTTCTGTGTTCTCCTTTTTCCCCTTCGTCTACATTTCTAGTTCTCATTATAAGCGTCCATCGTCACTTGATAGCTATGAAGTTTTTACTGGGAGTTCCATTGGATAAAACCATTGTGGATTGTCTTGGTCTTGGACATATTTATAAAAAAATTGTAAATAAATACTGAAGAAAAGGCACTCATATAGAGACGCAGTGTTTGGTGAAAGGAAAGGAAGTCGAGGATAAATTTTTTGTACAATTTATTCTCATGGTCGAGCTTCTCATCATTTTCAAATGCTCTCTTGTTACTGGGTTTTGCTGTTTTGTCATTGGTAACTTGAAAATTTTATCCGCAAGCATTCGTGAGAACGATGTATCTCTGCCATTTCAGTAATTTAGTAGTGGTGTTTTGGGCACTAAAAGTGTTGAACATTCAAGAATTTTGATGGTTACTGCACCAACTCAACCTTTTAATGCGACTTTTTTTGATAACATTTAATATAAAACTCATGCTAAATTAAAGAAAACCAATGTTGTACCTAATATAAAACTCATCAAAAATATATTACCAAGATTCCACAACAATCAACTACATCAAATGCTGGAATTTAAAACTCACAACAGTCAACTACATCAAAATGCTGGGATTTAAAACCTGTACATCAGAAAACAACTCCTACATAAAAATGAGCTGGAATTTTAAACCCCTACATCAAAATCTCCAATGCTCTCCTGCGTGCCGATCTCCTGCGAAATTGGAATTCATTAAAAAATCATCGAAGTATGGCAAAGTATGGCAAGTCATTGATACAATATGCTCTCGGTGACCTTCAATTTATAAAGGTTTCTTATAGATAAAATTTATTCTAACACCAATTACATAGGCAGATAAAATTTTTTCTAACACCAACAACATTTAAAATCTAAAATATGCCTTGAAAACATGATATGTGAAGGAGTGTGGACTTCAAATCTCATCAATTCAAATGCTATAATTTATCCAATGGCTACTGCTACTGGTCTTTCAACCGTGAATCATCTTGCCAATTTGAAACAAATAAAAATTGATTCCAAACAACCAATTATCATCATGGAAGACAAGCTTAACTCATTACTGAACATTGAACATTATACAAGAATAGTTAAAAGCAAAAAGTGCACCTGAACGTTTAATGAGGATGAAACTTTGTCTTTTTGCCTGTTCGATGTAGATGAGTTTGCCATTTGTAAATCATGGAGAACACACTCAGTTCAATCTATAGAGTGATTATCAAATTATAGAATTCTTCTCGAAATCATACCTTTCGACTGAGTTTTGATTTTCTAGAACCAGCTTTTAGACATCCCTTTCGACGAAGTTTTTTAGGAGCTCCCTTGCTTTTTGTGTATTTTGGGTCGAAGATAATTCCGCTAGCACACTTTCAGGCTTCATCCAAGCGTTGAGAGCCCACGCTACTATACTTCAACATGGAAGAATCATTTGTTTGGATTTCAATCCATTCCATGATACCACGTGACCGTGACTCATCGTGTGCTACGATGTCCGCTAACTTCGCAAATGCATTGCACATTTCCTCATATCTAATTTGGTCTGGAGTACTAACCCAACCATCATACGTAATCGGAACCCTTATGTACAATATGTTCACATCCCTTCTCCATCTCCTCAGAATGTACTTCTCAGGAACTAAGTGCACTTGGTTTCGAATCAAAACCGTCACCGCGTACTTGCAAATAATTCCTCTGAACTCGAACAGGTGACAACTACACTCAAACTCGCATTCATTTCTACGAAAGCACACTTTAAAGATTTTTGTCTTCATACAGTTGTTCAGAATAATGTCCTCACGTACATCGTACGTAGTATGCAAGTACGTCTCATTAAGTCCTAAGACTTCACAATACATCTTTCCTGTAAATTGTTCTTGAAACTCCTTGAACTTCGCGATGGTGTAAACTGATTGGAATTGCCTTTCCATGTCGTACCTTGTCGCACATGGGACCATTTGTGAAAATGATTTGAAGTCCGCTTGAAACTCCTTTTCAACTTTACTTTTCAAGGCACGCTCATATTGCTCTACAAACTGCTTCAGAGATGTTTTCGAATGAACATAGCCGTCAAAAAATGCATTAATACCTTCACTCCGTTGCGTGGTTGACATACCGGCCCAAAATGAGGTTTTCAAAAAGCATGGTACCCATCGACCTCTTTCATTGTACAGGCTGCTCAACCAAGCATGTTCTAACAAGTCATATTCGGCGAGCATATTATTCCATCCTTGTTCAAATTTCTCGCAACTTTGCACATAATATACCAATGCATGAACGGTAGCAAGAATGGAAGCTTTATGTCTATGGCCCCCAAACTTTTCTGGTAACTTTTTCAGAATATGCCACAGACACCATCTATGCTTTGTGTTCGGGAACACGATTTCAATTGCATTTTGCATAGCACGGTCTTGATCTGTAATTATCCCACATGGAGCTCGAGCATGCATACATTCAAGCCAGGTTTTGAATAGACATACAAAGGTCCTTGTGTCTTCATTAGATAGCAAGCCACATCCGAGTAGAGTTGATTGTCCCTGGTGGTTTACCCCAACAAAAGGAGCGAAAGGCATCTCGTACTTGTTAATCAAATACGTGGTGTCAAATGTAACTATATCACCGAACTCCTTGCACGCTTGTCTACACCTGTTATCTGCCCAGAACACGTTCCGCAGTCGGGCCTCATCATCCAAGTCTATGCTAAAGAAGAAACCAGGACTGCGTGCTTTCATCTTCGTAAAATAAGCTTGTATTGCAAGAGCATCTCCTTCACCCAGTCTTAACCGTCGGACTTTATCAATGAAATTTCTACAATCTTTCTCAATGCACATAATATTTTCATAACCACCGGCTTCAACCACGGCTGAGTTAAAACTCTTATGTAATGGTATACCAGCTACGTCATTTATTTCAAGCTGTCTTCTCACACGTGCACTGATTTCTCGATTGCAGCGATATATCCTTGATTTCGACGGGCTTGTTTTGTGATTATGCTCCAGATGAACAGTGTTAATACGCCATGAGCCACTTAGATTTGAACATGCTGTCAATCTTGCTTTACATCCTGTTTGCATTGTTGGTTGAGGCTTCAGGATTGAATTTGAGCCAGTACTTCGACGGCCCTCCCGACTACATGTGAAAGTGACATAACGCACAACCCCATCCTCACCCTTCCTTGAATTTCTTTTCCTCATTGGAAATCCGACTTGGTATGCATAGTTCTTGTAAAATTCGAACACCTCATTCTCATCTTGGAACTTCATTCCAACACTAGGCACAATAATATCAGTTCCTTCTTGTAAACTCATGTCATTCGGATTATCGTCTTCGGATGAAGGGATTTCCAAAATACCTACATTCATGACAGGAGGAACAACAAATCAAAATAAGAACTCTTGGAGGGGGACACTGTACATTTTGTAATGGATATGATTGTACTAAAGAATGAACAACAATCAAAATAAGCCTTTTTTCAATTGGACCTAAATTGAGGTTTAAGAATGAACAACAATCAAACTGCATCTAAAATGCTATTGTAAGCAGTAGTGAATTTAAGCACTGTCCTAGTAGTGAACATGAACAATAATCTGCTATTTTAAGCCCTACTTATAAGTATTGTTACTGAAATAAATATTTTTTTTTAACGTAACATGTGAGTTTGTGTATGTATAAGAAAATAAAGAAGTAGCCCGACAAATGGATTAACGCTATTGTAAGCAGCAAATATAAATTGAGGTTTACCTATAATTTCAACAATCAATCAGATTAACTATCACTTCAATTTCTTAAACTGCATCTAAATTGAGGTTTGCCTATAATTAACTTATTGTACACTAGATTAACTATCACTTAATTCACCAGAAATAATTAAATAAAAAGTCATAAATAAGTGAATAAGTAATTATCATGCAAATAAATTGTTGGTGCCCAGTGCAATTGCCAAAATCATTTCACGCTCTACGGTATCTGGGCATATGAAGATTACAAAAAAAAAACAAATTCTTGGATTAACAATACTGCCAGGGAAGAAAAGAAATGTTACCCATGTTGTTGCCGGACTCGATGTTGCCTCCTTCCATTTCATATTCTTCTCTACAATAACTGGGTTTCGGGTGAATTACGAACGGTGCAGATAACGAGGTCGGACTCACCGTCGCGCCGTCGCCGGCATCAAGCTAGGTTTCCCCTCGTTCCATTTCTCAGTCGCCTTTGTGGGGTGAGGGCGGGGGGAAAAGGGGGATTTGGAAGAGAGGTGAAATGGGCGGGCAAAATGGCGGGCAAATGGTGGATGCGAGGTTTAATCATCAACGCTCATTCGTGCAGTACATGTGTTCTCCTTTGTTCTGATTATTAATAGTTTTTCTTTATAAATTGCTATATACCTTTTTCGTAGAATTGCGAATGCAGCTGCAGCTTCTCAAGATGGAATCAAGAGAATATCCCGAGGTCCCTGCACGTATTTCAAGTGAGGAAGATGTAGCACAACATTCGTTGATGAACTTGGAACAAAACCATAAATTAGGAGCCGAAGACTGGGAAGCTTCTTATGTTCTTGATGTGCTGATCAACTCGGGTTTTGAAGAATCTGACCTCGACTTGTTTAGAACAACATGGCACTCCTCGAAATGCCCTTTAAATCCTGAGTTGTTTGATGACCTTGAGAAGAAATATAGTCATGAGCAAATGGAGTCAAGGTCTGAAATGGGCGGGCAAATGGTGGATGCGAGGTTTAACATTTCCAAGAAAAATCCAATTTCTCAGGCTTAACGAGATTTTCAGTTTCAAAACTCAAAATATCGCCACATCAGATTGTGTAACCCATTGTGTGAACCAATGGTTACATGTAGCACTATCTTAATGTAATTTAATGGGGATCAAACGGGGGTTAAAGTGTGCACCGTGTCCATGCAGCAACCCAACTCTCAACTAAAAGATGGTAAATCGGCCCAAAAAGGCCGAATGAAAAGGTGACAAATCCCTATTCTCAATCCCAAGCAAGGGTTTAGATTTTAGTTTCTCTCTCTACCTATATCAATATATATACACGCATATGCACTGATAATTTGTTTCTAGGGTTTTAGGGATTTCATATTCGTTTCCAATTTCATCTTTGGAAAAAGAAATGGATAGATACCAGAAGGTTGAAAAGCCGAAACCGGAATTGCCGATTAACGAAAATGAGATCCGAATCACTTCTCAGGGTTTGGTCCGTAATTACATCAGCTATGCTACTAATCTTCTTCAGGTTATACCCTAATTACCTTTATCTCCCATTGCTATTATTATTATTATTATTTTATTTTTATTTTTTTTGTGGTTTTTGTCTCTGATTTCGCGTACTCCTTTTTTGTCTTTGATTTGTTTCTAACGCATCAAGACATTATGGGTTTTAGTGGCGTTCTTGTGATATCGTGCTTGAATTTGAGCGCTGTGATATTCTTTTCTTGGTTCTACGGTTATCTTCTTGGAATGATTGTATGAGTTTCTTTATTTATATTTATTTTGCCTTTTTTTTTTTTCAAAAATGTCTTCGTTCAATGATTGTGTTAAATTCTTATCAAAAAATAAAAAATCAAAAAATGATTGTGTTAAATTTATGTTCACATCCGATAAAATTAAATCCCACACGCATACACGCAGATGCTCTTATTGTTATGCATGTGAATTTATTTGTTTGAAAATCTAGATATACATGCACAATAATGTACACCATTTTTATTACGTTGAATCTTTTGATGTTTATTTGCACTCTTTTTATTTGAGTTCGGTAAATATGGCGAGTTTTACCCATTACCATATTTAAGGGGCTTGAGACAGATTGTCTCTGTTGTCTATTTATCTTCACAATTTTTTTTTCTCTCTCTCTCAATTACTTTATCTCTGGCGGCCACGTAGAATAATGAAAACTTGTGTTTGCACATTTTTTGACTTGTATTTCTGATAGCAGATGCAGTTATGCCTGGGACATAACAATGCCTTGTGGGTTGAAAAAAACATTACTTCTTGTTTTCTGATTTCTATTGCCTCTGTTTATATAATGGACATGCTTGCAGCACCATTAGAGGATGATATGCTTATAATTTGATGTTATTATCCTGTAATAGAATCTGGACTCTGTTATTGTTGAAACCAGAGTTATTCCCCATTGTGGATCCATTTCATCCTGAACTGATCAGCATATCTACGGAAGGACGAGTAGTAACCTAGTACAATTCAAAGAAATGGCACGATGCTGTTGCATAACAATTAGGAGAATCCAGAATAAAAGTAAGCACATATACTATTCAAGTCTTTTTAAAAAAATATCATTACCTACCAAGCATAGGCCAAGGTGCAGAAACTTTTTGCTTTTGATAGTCTGAATTATGAAGAATGAAATTTACGTTAACCAAACACATTGGTCACAAGTGGGAGTAATGTATTAATTATTACTAAACTGCAGTATTGATGATCCAGAAATGAGTTTGGATCATGAAATCTTTGGCCAAGATATGATTCATGCAAATTAGGGCTCTGGTTAGTGTTGCAAGCTTATCCAACTTTTTTAAGTCTAAAGGTTGAAAGTGAATAGCATGTTTGATTTTTGTTGATTGATTGAGACTTAATAAATATTTTAGAATCAAATCTTTTTTTTCTCAATTTGGTGCATTTGTTTTGTTTTGTTCCGATTTTTCTTTATCCCGTCTCACGTGCATTCCTTGTTTCACTTGTTCTCACAGACTTGGGTCCTTGAACAAGTAAAACCTTAAAATTCCATGGGGTTGATGCCATGGTATTTCTTGTTTAATGGGTAGCACCCCCTTGGAAGAATTGTGTTGTGAACTGATCAAGTTATTGTATGCATTTGTTGTGCGCTGTCATCCAAATGTTCTAGCTAAGCTTGTTATAATTCTTGATGTTTAGGAGAGAGATGGGAAAGAGATTGTCTTGAAAGCAATGGGTCAGGCAATAAGCAAGACTGTGGCTATTGCAGAGATTATCAAGGTACCTCCATAAATATCTAGTGTATATGTCTCTTTTTTATTTGTTTGGATTAAATGGCTGAACTCAGTCCTTTTGTTTTGAAACAGAGAAGAATCCCTAGATTGCATCAAGACATCACCATCAGTTCGATGAGAATAACTGATACATTTGAACCCATTGAAGAGGGCCTTGAGACGTAAGTTTCAACTCTTTTGTACTTTGTTGTTGCCCCTTTATTATTTTAATTCGCACGCAGCTTTATGGACGCAGTGGTGTTTTATTTTTGTGATCATCAAATAAATGCATTTTCCAAGTTGATGATATACTTCTGAGTCTTTAATATTGATTTTAATACCTAATTCAGAGTGGAGCAGACTCGTCATGTCTCATTGATTTCCATCACCTTGTCAACTAAGGAGCTCAACAAGATTTCTCCTGGGTAATTTTCAAATTCTTTGAATCTTCACTACTTTTTTTAATGGAGGATTTAGAGGAAAAGAGGGAGGTGAGGAGGTAGATAATATAAATGCACATGCTCTAATATCTCTATTGATTCCGAAAATGTTGCTTTGATGAGGTAGTTTGGAAAAATTTATGTTTTAGATCCTACGAGTTTTTCACAACTGTGCGCATATTTTCTTATAGGGTTTAGCAACTAGCATATTCGTGTTCCTTTGTCCATTTTCATGAGTTTGGCTCTTTTTGTTTGGAAGTGTTTACTTCATCTTTTTGCACGTGCATATTATTTGACTTTACATGATATTCTCTGAGCATAATTCTTTATCTACCGTAGGTACCAAGCTCCGTCTTCTGTGGAGCAAACTCAACAACAATATGACTATCATCCACAGCAACTGAGACCATCACCTAGACAAGTGCATCCAGTATATAATGCTGGTAACGGAGGTAATATGAAGAAAAGGAATTGAAATGGACCCTTATTATTGAACCATCACGTCCCTGATATTAATGAAATTTGATATATAGATTCATATGGGAGAGGAAGAGCTCGTGGCAGAGGTAGGGGACGGGGTTGGAGCAGAGGTGGATATGCAAGTTATCAAGGTACTCATTCATAGAATCTATTTTTTCCTATGATGTGGACCATTTTATCAGGTGTTGCATCCAGTGATCTATATTTCTGACTCCCACAACATCTTTCATCCTGGCAGAAAATGGTGGATATTCAAATTGGGGTCAAGGTGGCAGGCGTCGTGGAGGTGGTAATTGGGGTTACCGTGGTTAGTGTGCCTCTTTAACTCAAGATTGTCGAACAAATTATTTTCTGCTAATGTCTGGAATTCCAGGAAACATGTCAAAATATATGCAGTTTAAAGTTTGAACTTGTTCTGGAATTGTTCATGATAAGAAATGTCATCTTTTCGTTTACTGGCAGGTGCTGGATATGGAAGAGGCAGAGGTGGAGGTGGCAGAGGCTATGGCCGTGGTCGGGGAAGTGGAAGGATGGGCAACAACTATGCAAGGGATGATGGCAACCAGACATAGTTTCAGAATAGTTCTTGAATGGTTCCATTGGCCTCATGGTTTTACCTTATCTGATTTGTGTTTTCTTGTGGCTTATGTGACCTTGGGTCGTTAAGTAGTTCATTTGCTCGACTTTTATCTTGTTGATATGGGTCGAGCTTGTTCTAAATATTGCTTTTATTTTAATGCCAAAGAGGAAGTATAGCCGGGTTGAGTCTTCCATAATTCTTTGATTTGTGTCGCTAATATGTTTTCCCAGTTTCAAAATACTAGTTTAAGTTTCAGTGCCTATGTGAATCTCTCTCTTCATATCTTCCTGTGTGTTCGTTGTGTGGGGGGTGTTCCATCTCTTACCGTGCTTTATAACATATTAGAAAACTAAAAAATTAATTATACTCTAAAGTAAAATGATATATAACTTGGGATAGACGAAAAAGGAAATCAAACTTATCTTTATGGGACGGAGGAAGTATGAATTTTGTATGCACAAGAATTCAACGTTTTACTTTTAACGAATAGGATAGAAAGCGTGTAAGGTAAAAGTAATAGTCTATAATTTAATTCTGAAGCATGGTTTGCCCTTTCATGATCGTCCCCATAAATCAATGTTCATTTTCGTCCTATTCTCAAAACTATCAATACGATATGACACAATGTTTCATTTGTTTTCGTATAAATAAAAATCCATTCTACCTTAAAAGATATTACGACTTCAAGTATAGCACACTGAACATAAGATTTTACTCTACATTTAACTGTGTGCTTTAAGATAAAAATAATTGGGCTTGATTGCTCTGGACGAGATCCCGAGGCTTCCCCCTAACTATGTTCCTAGCTTTAGGCAATCGTCTATGACGTCCATAGTTAAGGTCGGCCATGGTATTGAATTGTTTACAGTAAAGTTTTTATATTTTACTATGTTATCGAGTAAATAATATATTCATTTACAAATTTTGACAATATAGTAACGGCAAATAGTTTCCTCTTAGGCAAGAGGTGAACTATTTTGTTGTTATTCACACTAACAAGGTTCATAAAATCGTTGGTGGAATGGCCAAAAATAAAATTCAAATGGAAAAACGACAAGTGTGTTTTCGTCAGCACAATTACAACATTTTTAATAGGATTGATGTTAATGTATGTGTCCTATAAGAGAGGTTAGATTCAGCCGTAGAACCAACCAATTTGGAATCTAGAATATAATATCTTTTCACTAGGTACGCCAAAGACTTGTCATAACAAATACTTCATGTTTGTTTCTGATTTTAATTAGATTTTAATCATAATTTCATACTTGAAAGTGAGAAATTTAGCCCTTGTTTGAAATAATATATTTTTAGAGAATTTATGATTATAAAATAAGAAAAAAAAATTCGATTTACGTATAAATTTATTATATTGGAGAATGTGTAATTTAAGATGAGTAACAGGGGAATGAGTTTTGAAATAATGATATTTTGGAGAATGTGTGGTGAAAAATGTAAAAACAATTTTGAATTTATATACAAAATATTTTATTGTATGAATATGTGGTTAAAAAAGAGTGAAAGAAAAAAGAGTTTTGATTTAATGAATGTTAAACAGGGCTTATGTATTATCAAAATTTCAATATAAATATTTTTTGAGGAAATTACATCTCGCCCTACCTTTAGAGATCTGTGTTCTAAAATCAGATGAAAAGTTTCACATTTCACAAATCAGATATTTCATTTTTAAATACCAAATATTTAATATACAATTTTCATCCCAAATCCTAATCAATTTTCCCTTCTCTCTCTCACCCTCATCTCTTTTCACCGGAGTCGCTTTGACCCCCAGTTCTCTTGTCTCCTTCACTAAGCTGCAGCGACAATGACCTACAACTGGGAGCGCTATGTAGAATGGAGCTTCTCTTCATCGAAGCTGCATCGAAGACCTAGACGATAGCGGAGAGATAAAATTGCAACGCTGTGCTTCGCGCAAAACACGCATTGTTGCAGTTTAGGTGCTGATGGTGTGCTACAAATGGTTGCGGCTGGTAGATCTGCAGTAAGGTAAGGTGGTTTTGGTTTTGTTTTTTAGAGTGGAAGCGACAGCTTTTTTGGCTGGCTGCTGGTATGGTGGTTGGTTGCGGTGGTGGTATCGTGATGGTTTCTTCTTGCATATTCTGTGAAGGAGTGTTTGGGTGTGGTGGTGGTTGAAAATGGTGGAGGTGGTGATGGCAGTGATTGTTGAGGCGGCGACGACGGCGATAAGGCGATAGCGTTTTGGATCTAATTTGTTGGTGGAGAGCTGGTGGTGGTGGGGGTTGTGGTGGTAAAGCGATAGTGGTGGTGTTGTTGCTTGTAGTTGTTGTGGGGTGTGGCTGTAGTCGTGGCGCCGGCGGTGTGGTTGAGATGGGGTTGGATGCCTTTAACCAATTATCCCTCCACTATTAAAAGAGGGAATGTGCAAGTTACTATTCATTTGTGAAGTATTTTGTATTTGTTCATCCTACATCATTGCTATGTTACCCTCCAAAAATCTAACACTATTTTACCATCTCCAACTTGAGGGTTCAATGGTCCTGATACAAAATATGGCATTGTTTATTGCTTTCACACTTGAATCCAACGTCTATCACTTATTTTACTGAATATTTACTATTTATCTGACACTTGGTAACCTCTTTTGTTGACTAGAAAAAGCAATTTTATCCTTTATTCAGTCTTCCACTTTCATTTGCCTTCAGCCTATCATCCTTCTCTCTCCTCTACTATTAAAAGAGGGAATGTGCAAGTTACTATTCATTTGTGAAGTATTTTGTATTCCATTTTACCCTTGTTCATCCTACACCACTCCTATTTTACCCTCCAAAACTAATACTATTTTACCATTTCCAAAACTTGAGGGTTCAATGGTTCTGATACAAAATATGGCATTGCTGATTGCTTTCACACTTGAATCCAATGTCTATCACTTATTTTACTGAATATTTATAGTTTATCTGACTCTTGGTAACCTCCTTTGTTGACTAAAAAAAGCACAAATCTTATCTTTTCTTCAGTCTTCCCCTTTCATTTGCTTTCAGCCTATCATTCCTCTCTCTCCTTTTGGAAAATAATCGGAGCTCTCTTTCATTATCTCTCATCTTTTCTTTACATCTAATTCCACAAAGGAGTGCTATCAATTAATATTTATTTCCTATCGATTTCTGAAAATCAAATCTTGATGGAGAGGAGGAAGGAGCGTTGAATCAAATTCCATACACACCGTCTCTTCTAACAAAAAACTTGAATCCGCCATGGCATTGGCGTGTTGCCCTTCATGGAAGCAGTAATCAGTATGTTTTTCTTTATCCATTACATGTATATATTAAGCGTGTAAAAATATTTTTCCCTTTTTTGAAACTTAACTCGTTATTGGTTCCTGGAATTGTTGTTATTTATATTCATAGTTTAATTTTCATTTATTGTCGTGAATATTTATTAAGGATTTTATTACCTTAAACAAATTGTATATGATTAAATGTTCTATGACCGTGCGTTATTCCAATTATTTTGTTACCCAATCTTTTATATTTTCTTTTTTCTTTTAAATTCTATTTAGCTTTAATTTTTCATCAAGACAGAATGTGCATTTCTTAGGCTATGCATTAATTTCATAAATTTATTGACCACAAGATTACCCTTTTTCTCCTGTAGATATTAAAAGTTATAACTTTATTGATTACCCTTTTTTTTTTTTTTGAGCTTCATGTACAACTTTTTATTTTATATGTACCAACCAATTATTAGATTCTTTTATTCTTTTTACATTAGCTACGAGCAATTTTTAGAGGAAGGGAAGCTTTTGGAGGTATAGCTATATAGATCATGCTAAAAAATGTCGTGCATCAATTGATGCTTTTAGTTTCACATTTTGAGACTATGTCCTACGATAATTACAGGAGAGTCCTAGAAGTTGCTCCTAGGCTTTATCCTTTAGGACAAGATAGTGCTACTTGTGGAGAGTCTATGTTCATTAAATTGTAGAGAGTCCTTGGTGTTTCTTTTTTTTTTTTAATAAACATTTTATGTAAAAGCTAATTTTTTTAAAGAGGAACACACATCCTTATTTAAATCTATGGTTTTCTTAAATAATGAGTTAACAGTTTAACCTTAACCCAATTGGACTATGGGGTTAAATCATTCTCGCATTCACAAATATTTCAGGCCTTTGATGTGATGAGAAAGCAAGAGCAAATGTTGCTAGCGGAATTGGCAGCGGAAAAGACTAATTTTGGGCCCATTGAAGCTTATTGTGATATATTAAGTGTTTAATTTGATAAATTTAGTCAATCATTCATAAATGCTATTAATTTTTAGTACATCATTCACATTTGGTCTCTCTCAGACACACACACACACACACACACATACAAATACAGTTCATAATCTTGTGGTAGGAAGTGTAAGACATTAAACCCTAATACCAAGATCTTTAGAATTCTTGATTTTCACATATGAATTTTAATTGATCAAGAAACATACCTTGATCCATGGAAATAATTGAGAATTTTAGATCTACAAAATAATAAACTGTTAAATTAAAGAAACCGTTCTCTCACTTTTCCTCTCTTTTATTGAATGAATTAATTGATGGGTTTTATTCACATTTATAGGCAGAGAGAGGCAGTCTCCTTTGTGCCGTAAAACTCTCAACTTTCCATCAAAGTAGACAATTATAAAACTACAATTTCTCAATTGGGCCAATAGGATTTTAGTAATATTAATCACCTTTAATTAATTCTTTAATATTACATGGGCCACAAATAATTGGTTTTACATTCTCCCACTTGGCCCGTGTAATATTGTTTTGTTATGTGGTATATAACATAATGCGCATACCATTAGCTAAAATCAATCATACATTGATCACTTAATATATCATCCTTAAGTAAAGACTAATAAGAGTCATGGCGGTTTTACATCATCATATAAGCATAATTCCTTCCATGTACTACAGTATTAGTCCCTACCCAACATGACACATAATGAGAAGTTCGATAATTGCATTACATTAATGTCTTCGAAAAGACTATCCCTGTCAGCATTTGCATAATTCATTCACGTACATGTACCAACAGTTATGACAGGAATAATATTTTGTCAAAAACAATACATAAATGAGCCCAAAATGTCAATACATAAGCATCATGAATTGCATAATAATGTTAATGATAATTTTCAATAATGCCCATCCTTTCAACATGTTCATTGAATGTCTTTGGTGGCAATCCTTTTGTTAATGGATCTGCAACCATAAGATTGGTGCTAAGATACTCGATTGACACCCTTTGTTTTTGAACATCTTCTTTAATGGCAAAGTACTTCAATTCCATGTGCTTAGCACCTTTAGAGTACTTGTCGTTCTTTGAAAAGAAGACTGCTGCAGAATTATCACAGTAAAGTTTCAATGGCTTGGCTACACTGTCGACGATCCCAAGTCCTGAAATAAAGTTCCGCAGCCAATTTCCTTGAACTGTGACCTCAAGGCATGCCACAAACTCGGCTTCCATAGTGGATGCAGCAATGATTGACTGCTTCGCATTTTTTCATGATATAGCCCCTCCAGCTAAGAGAAACAAATAGCCAAATGTGGACTTTCTAGTATCCACACATCCAGCAAAGTCCGAATCTGAATATCCAATGACCTCCAAGTTATCAAATCTCATATAAGTGAGCATGTGATCTTTTGTTCCTTGCAAGTATCTCAATACTTTCTTTGCAGTTTTCCAATGATCAAGTCCCGGGTTACTTTAATACCTGCCCAGCATTCCAACAGCAAAACTGATGTCTGGTCCGGTGCAAGTCTGAGCATACATTAAGCTCCCAACAAGAGATGCATAAGGAATAGCTGTCATTTGTTTGCGTTCCAATTCGTTTTTAGGACATTGCATGAGACTAAATTTGTCTCCTTTCTGAATTGGAACAACACTCGCTGAACAATTTTTCATATTGAATCTCTCTAAAACTTTATTGATGTATACTTTCTGAGACAACCCTAACAACCCTTGTGACCTATCACGGAATATTTCAATTCCAATTACATAGGTTGCCTCTCCCATGTCTTTCATTTCAAAATTTTTAGAGAGAAATTTCTTAGTCTCGTATAATAGACCAAAATCATTAATAGCTAGCAAGATATCATCAACATACAGAATCAGAAATATAAACTTGCTCCCACTGACCTTCAGATATATACATCGATCAACGACGTTTTCCTTAAATCCAAAGGAAGTAATGGTATCGTTGAACTTAAGATACCATTGATGGGAAGCCTGTTTAAGTCCATATATTGATTTCTTTAACTTACATACCATGTATTCCTTTCCTTTAACTGAAAAACCTTCAGGTTGATCCATATAAACTTCTTCATCTAAATTTCCATTTAAAAAGGCGGTTTTCACATCCATTTGATGTAGTTCTAAGTCATAATGAGCTACTAAGGCCATTATAATTCTGAGTGAGTCTTTCTTAGAGACTGGTGAAAATGTCTCCTTATAATCAATGCCACTTTTCTGAGTAAAGTCTTTGGCAACAAGTCTAGCTTTATGTCGTTCGATATTACCATTAGAGTCGCGTTTGGTCTTAAAGACCCATTTACACCCAACTCTTTTACATGATTCTGTTAATTCAACGAGATCCCAGACTTCGTTATGTTCCATAGATTTCAACTCATCTTTCATAGCATCTAACCACTTATCAGAATTAGCGCTCTCAATGGCTTGTGAAAATGAAACTGGATCATCATCAACAATTTCCAAGTCAAATTCAGACTCTTGCAGGTAAACCACATAATCATCAGAAATAGTAGGTCTACGTTGTCTTTGTGACTTTCTTAATGTTATTTCTTGTGGTTCATCTAATGCAGGTTCGTCGGTGGCAACTTCATTGTGAGGTGTTTGATCATTTATTTGTTGTTCAGGTAAATTTTTATGTCGTTCAACAATTTGAGGAACAACAACATTAGAAGAAGTTGAGGGTAGAGAAACTTGAACTCTAACTTCTTGTATTTCCACATTTCGTGGTTCAAAACTCACACTAACTTCACCATTCTCAATGAACCTAGCATTTCCAGTTTCAACAATTCTAGTACTATGGTTAGGACAATAAAATTTATACCCTTTTGATTTTTCTGGATAACCAATGAAAAATCCACTGATTGTTCTTGAGTCCAGTTTCTTTTCATGTGGATTATAAATTCTTGCTTCTGCTGGGCAACCCTAAATATGCAGGTGCCTTAAACTAGGTTTCCTTCCCGTCCATAGTTCAAAAGGAGTCTTTGGAACTGTCTTACTAGGAACCCTATTTTGTAGATATATAGTAGTCTTTAATGCAAACATCCACAAAGATATGGGTAAAGAAGAATTGCTTAACATACACCTAACCATTTCTATTAGAGTACGATTACACCTTTTAGCCACACCATTTTGTTGTGATGTGCCTGGCATAGTGTATTGAGAACATATGCCATGTCTTTCAAGAAATTTAGAAAATGGACCTGGGTGTTGTCCAGTTTTATCATACTTTCCATAATATTCACCACCTCTATCAGATCTAATAATTTTCACCTTTTAGTCTAATTGTCGTTCAACTTCATTGACAAAAATCTCTAAAACATTTACAGTTTGAGACTTTTCATGTAGTAGATAGACATAACCATAACGTGAAAAATCATCGATAAAGGTGATAAAATACTTTTCCCCACCAAATGATGAAACATCAAAAGGCCCACATATATCGGTATGTATTATCTCAAGAAGCTGTGTGCTTCTCGTGGCTCCTTTCTTTGTGTGTTTGGTTTGTTTACCCTTAATACAATCCACACAAGTTTCAAGATCACTAAAATCCAAGTCAAGAAGGATTTCATTCTTTACTAATCTTTCTATCCTTTCCTTGGATATGTGACCCAAACTTTTATGCCACAAGTTAGCAGATTGTTTATTCAGTAAACCACGTTTAGTACTAATATTATGATGCAAGGTCAAAAGACTCTCAGCAAAGAGGTTATCAAGCTTTAATTTATATAAGCCATCCCAAAAAATAGCGGAACCGATAAGATGATTTTGTTTAAACAAATTTAAACATCCATTTCCACCATCAAAGAAATATCCAACAGAATCAAGTTTTGATAAGGAAACTAAATTACGAGAAATAGAAGGTACATATAGAGTCTGAAATAAATCTAAATGATGTCCAGTATCTAAAATCAAACGATAAGTTCCAATGGCTTCAACTAGAGCTTTGACTCGATTTCCCATGAGGACAAACTTTTCATTTGGATTTATGGTCTGGGTTGAAAGGAATCCCTGCATCGTATTAGTAACATGAGTGGTACATCCGGAATCAATTCACCAAGTATTATAAGGAACTTCTACCAAATTAGATTCGAAACATACATAAGAAATAATCTTACCTTTACTTTCGAACCATGCCTTACGTTTCAGGCAATCCTTTTTATGGTGCCCAGGTTTGCGACAGAAATGGCACGTATCCTTTTTGTGTTCCTTATTGTGGATATGGGCAGAAGACTCATTTATCTTTAGTGGTCCTTGCTTAATGCCCTTTCCAGATCTTTTCTTATATTTCTTTCCAGCTCCTTGATGACTTACGAGATGAACAGAATGAGTTCCTTGATTCTTAAGCCTTGTCTCCTCTTGCACGAGCATACTATGCAATTCATTCACATTCCATTTATCCTTTAAGGTATTATAGTTCATATGGAATGGACCGTACTCGAGAGACAAAGAGTTGATGATAAATTGTACCAGAAAGTTATCATCCACAGTCATCCCAAGAGTCTTAAGTCTTGCTGCAATGTTACTCATTTCGGTAACATGCTCATGCATGATACGAGAACCATCAAATTTCATGGTGGTTAAGGTACTCATCAGTGTGCCAGCAAGTGATTTGTCAGCTGTTTGGGAACGTTCTTCCACAAACTTCATATATTCCTTAGCATTCTCAGTTTTAGGGATAGTAGACTTGATATTCTTTGCTAAGGTCATCCACATAAACATTAAGCTTAATCTGTTTGACCTTTCCCAAGCTTTATGGACAGATCTTTCATCAGCACTGCTCTCATCAGTAAGATCAGCAGGTTTCTCAACTTGAAGTGCTAAGTCCAAGTCCAAAACACCTAAATTGAACTGAACTTGTTCACACCAGTCAGAGAAATTTAGCCCATTGAACAGTGGTACAGATGAAGCATGCGAATGCAGAGAAACGGGAACAGATACTGCAAAATATAAAATGCTCTAACATTAATACTTTGAATTTTAATTTCAAATTCAGATAACAATAAATGTATAGCGTAATTCTCCTTTGGGTGATATTACGTTATACCATCATAATAAATATAATGATGCTAATTAAATTTCACTTAATTGGTAATTAAATATACTCTAATCAAACATGTATGATATCTTTGGATATACAAAACACATCCGACCAAGCAAATCAATTAACCACGATCATGTTCAAGATTAATAAAATTAACTGATCAACCTTTGAGCGATCCATAATAATTTTATAATCTTTGAACGTCAATATACTCTTGACAATAATAATCATAATGTCATCTTCATTTATAAGCATCAAACTATCAAGAGTAATTGATAAATAAATTATGTAATTTAACGTTCAAAATACCATAATGTTTGGCCACTTTGGTGACTAACAAACAACATCAATCGAACATCAGTTACATAAACAAAACACAAAGATAGGTAATTAGACTATGACTTAATTTAATCCAATATATATATATATATATATATATATATATGAATCACTTCCTATATATCTTCCTGTCATAACAATGATACATGATTATTGCAATATTCTCATATATAATCTCATAAGCAAATAATATTAAAAAAAAATTTCCAGAACTCTTATAGCAGAGTACCACCAATATCTTAGCCCCATTAATTTTTTTTCGCATAAATCATGTCATTATCCCCTCTCCCTCCAGATCCACAGCAGAACCAAATTTCCAAATGAATTTCATGTTTCTGAGGATACTTTTGTGGTACTAAAATATGGATCAATATTAAATATAAAAGTATGCTATAAAGATGATAAAACTTCTTTCTGCCACATGAACAACATATATGTTTCTGCGACATGTTTTTGATCCATATATTAAAAGACTCATTTTCTTGATCCATTCACAGCAATTAAGAAGAAAATCAAGAGCCCAGAAACAAATTATCACAATTGATGGCTGCACCGTATCATAGAATAAAGAACTCGGAAAAGAATTTTTATGGAACAAAAAATGCAGCCGTGAATAATTTGTTTCATTAATTTCAACAAGAACCTTGATACCAAGATCTATAAGAAATAATTAAGGATCGATAAGTGAAAAACAATAATCTTAAGAGGAAAATCAAGAATTCTTTAATCATGGCTCTGATACCACATGTAAGACATTAAACCCTAATACCAAGATCTTTAGAATTCTTGATTTTCACATATAAATTTTAATTGATCAAGAAAACATACTTTGATCCATGGCAATAATTGAGAATTTTAGATCTGCAAAATAATAAACTGTTAAATTAAAGAAACCGTTCTCTCACTTTTCCTCTCTTTTATTGAATGAATTAATTGATAGGTTTCATTCACATTTATAGGCAGAGAGAGGCAGTCTCCTTTGTGCCGTAAAACTCTCAACTTTCCATCAAAATAGACAATTATAAAACTACCATTTCTCAAGTGGGCCAATAGGATTTTAGTAATATTAATCACCTTTAATTAATTCTTTAATATTACATGGGCCACAAATAATTGGTTTTACAGGAAGATTATCCAAATAGGTAGTTTGTTTTCCTTAAAAATTGGTTCGCTGACATTTTATTTTTGTTTAAATGATTAATAAATATTGAGTTTTTGACTCACTTTAGGTCTTTGTTTATTTATTTACTTTTCTTGGAGAGAAAAAAGAAAAGAAAATGCAAGAGGTGGTTGGTAAATCTCTGTCCTTGCAGAAAGAAATTTATTTCTGATATACAAAGAGAGTTTATCTTGTGGGGATCATTTTTTATTTTTTGAAGCTCGCTGGATTACTTAGGTATATGCTTATTGCCACCTATTTGCATTAGTGCTTTAATAGTAGAATTGACTACACACATTATATTTGGGTGATAGAAATATTTTTTTGATGAAGAGAATAAATGTTTGAAGTGTGAAATTTTTTTTATGTGACTCAACTAGAAGTTTGTGTATTCATTGTCACCCATCATGTGTGCTTGTATTTGTAGGAGAAGCTGCAAAACTGGGTAAAAGACCATAGGAATCTGTGTCAACAAGCACAAGCTAAATTGCAAATGCTAAGGTATGGAGACAAGTTAGCTCGAAAACGAATGTAGGTTTGAACATTCAATCTTCTTGTACCTCATTCTAAAATCAAGTGTTAAGCATGTGCGAAGTGAATTTGGGAAGCTTAATTTAAGTTGAGTGGAAGCATGAGTGTTTAACTTTATTAACTTGTATAACCCATATGACTATATTCGTGTTACTAATGATGTTATCCCCAATATTTATTGAGAAAAGCATGATTAAGTTGAACCTTTTTCTGAGAGGTGGGGAAGTTAAAAAAAAAAAAATGACAAGCAACTTTTTTTTTTTTTTTTTTAAATCTTAGAGAGCGAAAATAAGCTCTTTTGAAGTAAGTTTAGGTGCCTTGCTCAGTTTTAATGAGCTTATAATTTGTTCTAACTTAACTAAGCATTTCACAGTATAACTTTAAAGGGTAATTGACACAAAATGTCTCTACCTTTTAAGTTTATTGTTGAAAACATCCTTACCTTTCATTTTTTGATATTTTTGCCCCTACCTTCCACATTTCTTTGTACAGAAGGTCATTTTGACGATTTTATCCTCTATTGAAATGAAGCAAAAAAAGAGAAAAAGAAAAGAAAAAATAAAGAATTAATTGCAATTATAGTCCCAAATTTTTAAAAAAAATTATAAATCAGTCATAATATATTGTGAACTAAAAAATTTTAAAATTAAATAGAGAAAAGAAACTTGAATGTACATGGAAATAATCAAGAAATGGAGAAATTTTTTTTAATCATAACCAATGGAAATGAAAATTTTTGAAGATTACGCGATTTTTGCCTCAAGCCTTCCATCTACTTTTCACTGAATAAAAATTGAGATTTATGCTTACTCATTTTTGAAGATTTTTAGTTTCATTGGCTATGGTTCAAAAATTTCTCTATTTCTTGATTATTTCTCTGTACATTCAAGTTTCCCTTCTTCTTTTTTTGGGTAATTTTAAAATTTTTCAGTTCACAATAAATTGTAACCGATTTGTCATTTTTTTGAAATTTTGGGACTATTATTGCAATTATTTCTTTATTTTTTTTCTTTTCTTTTCTTTTTGTTTTATTTGAATGGAGGGTAAAATTGTCAACAACTAATGAAAAGGACTTTCTTAGCAAAGAAATGTAAAAGGTTGGGGCGAAAATGGCAAAAAATGAAAGGTTGGGACATTTTTCACAATAAACTTAAAATGTAGGAACGTTTTGTGCCAATTACCCTAACTTTGAATTCCAAATAAAATATTTATACAATGTTGTTCCGGGTTTCCTCATGCAATTCTGCCCCCTTCTTGCAAGACCTATATGTCAATATCCGTCTCCAACCCTACTCCAGTTGCCAACACCCTCCCCCCCCCACCCTTGGGAAATGGAGCCTACTTCTTACTCTTGCCACCTTTCCTAGATTTCAGCTATTAGGACAAAGGCCCAACTCTAAATTCAAGCTTGGTGCCTGGATATCAACAAAACCAGCTAATATTCTGAATAACAATAATAAAATTGGCAATACCTATGATTAGCATACATAGCGGGAGCTAAATGATTTGGCCTTTTAAATGCTATGAAATCTCATTCATTACATTAAAATGCTTTGCCTGAGTACAAGTTCAGTTCTTAAACTAATGAAAAACAGACGATTTCTTGATGTGACCTACACAATAGATTCATTTTTATTTCGTTGACATCCTTTTTCTTTCTCCAAAGTAAAATATTTTATGCAAGAACTTCATCTTTGCAAAGATGACGAAGAATTCAAGAACTTCATATAGTCCTATATACCTATCATCCTTTGTTCAAACATTACCTTCAAAGAAACGCAACTTGTGCATTGCACGGGCAAAAAAATTAGTTTGTAATATAGGACCTAAAGGTTTTGATTGTGACTTACAATTAATTAAGTTGTGATCCAAAAATTAATTGTAACCAATTAATCTAAAAATTTGCAACAAATAAATGTGTTGTGACCAATAAAAAATTTTATTTTGTGACCGATGAATAATTCGTGACCGATAATTTGTCACTGTATAATAAGTTGTGATTTATAATATTTATGAGTTGTGACTAATAAATAAATCGTGACTTATAAATTTTTTTATTTGTGACCAATGAACAAACTGTGGCCTATAAATTTTTAAATTGTGAACATAGAATAATTTTTGACATAAAATTTCTGATTTGTGAAAAAAAAATAATGAGTTACTAACTAAATCATTAATTTGTTATCAAATTATATAGATCTGTAACCTAAATATAATTAATTAATTAAATCATAAATATATTTTAATAAAAATCTGATTTGTAAAGTTCGAAACTTGTTTTCTTATTTTTGAAATGTGTGATACTTAAACTTTTACTTATGAATTTTTCCCATACTTTTTCCCTGGTTTCATGGTTGAGGGCAAAACGGTCTTTTGACCAAATTATAGGTGATAATATTTGGTGGATTAGGGCCCATTTTTGCTTGCTATAGAATCGATTTTCTTCAATTAAACATATCCTTAGTATGTAAATGTATATATGTATGTAACTATGTAAACTACAGTCAAATAATAACAATATCCTATTTACAGTGGCTCTATTTACTTTACTATGAGGTTTTGTAATGCAAATTCCGCATTGATTGTTTGAACCAACCACAAAAAAATGCGACAAATGGGGACTTAGCATATGAGGCTCAAAAGGGCCCGACCATGGGACTAAGCCGCCTAACCTACTTATAATATATGAAGACGAGAGTTAGCAAGCTCTATTAGCTTTTGTATTTTAAGTTGATGAGAAATAATCTATTAAGTACTCTTGATTAGTTCATATTATGTAGCAGTGATTTGATACATCAATTAATTGATAGACAAATTTACAATTGGTATCTAAATTAAATTAGATTTATTGAATTAATGTAACATTTTAAGTTGATATACGGTGGTCAATACATCATATCTCTTTATTTGGTTACTTAAATTCATTTAATCTAAATTATGTCAATTATTTCTTTATTTACTTATTTTTGTTAATGCAACTGATTATTTCAGTTTTCATTATTTTGGTACGAGAAATGCATGTTAAATATAATTTTTTAGGCTCAAGTTTGATCGAATGAAATTATTTATTGAATGAGAGCTTGATATATTTTTAATGCCAAACTACTTAATGAAAGTAGAAAGTTAGTTTTCCACAAACAAGTCTATATCTTACACCATCTACTTCATGATGTATGACAGTTTTAGTAGCATCATTTTTTTTTACATTGTCGAGCTCAAAATTTCAAATCGACTCAACTAGGGAGGAGTATAGTCGATCAAGACACTTGATACAATTATTGCACGAATTAGACTCAGGTGCTCACGTGTAGAAGCTAGCTAATCAATAAATATTTGCTCAGCTAGCATATGAGTCGTGACTACTAACAACTTGGAACTAATCTGACCACGCTAACACACAAAATAGAATATACAGCTACTAAAATTTATGCATAGTAACATGTTACTCATTCAAAGAGTAAGAAATTAGGGTTTCTTCTTAAAAGGTTAATCTATAAGTAACTCAATTTAATGTTATTTTTTATTTTTTGCAAACCTATAATCTACTCTTTGGTGAGAGAACATTAGAAAAACTCGACAACATATATATATTTTTTTCCCCTTTTAAAGGATAGTTGCTATAGGTTAATATAGGAGACACGAAAACACGTGTCACCCTATAAGCAGCTTTTTTGGTCTGTTAGAATATAGACGTTGATACACAAATTGCTTTAAACATAAAATGCCAAGAAGTCAAGGTCGTTGGAGTGAGGAAAATGAAAATTTTCTATTTATCTAAAGAGACTAATTAATTATCTCAATATAGCGGCATTTTGATATAACGACATATACGAAAAACTAAATTCCATTTACTATTTTTTATTTATTTCTTTTCAAATTATGCTTGATTGGGATTCGTTCAATAGGATCGTATTAAAATTAGGTTGGAAGCAGAGCAAGATGCACCATCTAGTTACTTGAAACCCGACTCATGAGCTATGACAATATTAGTAGCATTATCCACTACATTGTCGAGCTCAAAGTTGCAACCCAACTCAACTAGGTAGGAGCATACTCAATCAAGAAAGTGGATAGAGGTACTCCTCGAACATGTTACTCACCTCAATAGTAGAGAATTAGAGTTAAAGTCCCTGTTCGGTGTAAATTAAAATCAAATTTTTAATACATTTTGATAAAAGTTAATAAAATGTGTGTTAGAAAATTTGTGAATCCCATATATAGAAATTTTTATTAAATTTTAATCTACATCAAATAGGGACTAAGTGTAAATCAATTTCTTTATGAACATATTATCTACTCTACGGCGGTTGTGGGAGAATATGGAAAAAGATCAAATATCCTATAAATTAATTTCCGAATTAATACAGGGGTCACGTGTCACCCTGTAAGAAGCTATTCTTTGTCTAAACTGAGATGTCAGAATATAGACGTTGAATCGTCCAGATTCATTAGTTATCTGTATGATTGGGTTTATATATTGAATCAGTATCTTTTTATTAATTCAGTAGATTCATTACATGGTAGATGTATATAAAAAAATGGAAGGTGGTGTAAAGAAGGTAGCGAAGAAAGAAAAAGAGCCCTTTCATGTAATTCACAAGGTTCCTTCAGGTGATGGTCCTTATGTGAGGGCTAAGCATGCTCAGGTCTGCTTTCCATCTTTCAAATATCTCTCGATCTTGACTCTCAGAGTTCGACATACATGCAACGGACAACTCTGTTAAAACCTAGATGCTCGAAAACTTCTAAGACGACTGCATTTAAGTGTCATATCGTGTTTTATTTGACTTGTTTGAGAATAATCCCATCCTTTGATCCAATCGAACTCTGAACTATTCATTGTCTGGTGTTATTTTATTTTGAGTTTTTTTCACTAGGTAACCTTCTTTTTGTAACTAGATCATCAAATTCAGCATGCGAAACATGTTATATCTATAACTTTATTAGTATATTATTAATTAATTTGAGATATCTTTTTGTATTTTGAGGTTTTCAGTTGATACAGAAAGATCCAGAAACAGCAATAATATTGTTTTGGAAGGCCATTAATGCAGGGGATAGAGTGGACAGTGCCCTCAAGGATATGGCTGTGGTTATGAAACAACTGGATAGAACTGAAGAGGCAATTGAAGCCGTCAAGTCCTTTAGGGGCCTTTGCCCAAAACAAGCCCAGGAATCACTTGACAATATTCTAATTGACTTGTACAAGGTATAAGTCATGCTTGAAACACTCTTTAATAGCTTCTCCTGACTGTACGTGGTCTAGAATTATTCTTGAATGTAGCAATGAACTTCATGATTCTGTTGTGCCTAATTTGTGAGTCTGTTATCTTCATCATAAACTTTAAACTGAATAATACAAGAACCAAGGATTTGTTGACTTAAAAAGAGAAAAAAGAGAAAAAAAATCGAGTCTCTATGCGATTGTTATTCAATAACTCTCTTTCAAACTTCCTGAAGTGAAAGCCTTTTAACCATATATATAGTTGTAATGGAGGGGGAGATTGAATTGATAGCGTGGACGATTTAGAAGATATTATCGAAGTCTTTTTGGGACCTCTTCTGTCTTATAATTTCCCTTTGGAAGTCATAAATTCTCACTTCTCGCATGTCCTATGGCGTGGCATAAAAGAAATCACGTAATGTTTGTTGGTTTGTTTGAAGAATGATACATGTTACACCACAATTATATCAAGGCCCCATTTGATAAGGATTTTTAAAAGTAAAAGCTGCTTTTGAGATTAATAAATTATTACAAAACATGTTTAATTAATTTTCTTGAAATGTTTTATTTCGTTGGAAGAGCTTTTAAAAAAGTTGATCTAAGATAGCTTCGTCAAGAAGTTTTTTATAGAAAGCAAAAGCAGAAATACTGTCCAACAGGCCCTGAAATTCTTGTCTTCGTACAGTGTCCATTTTATAACACCTCTTTTTTTTTCCTTGACTTGTAGAAATGTGGAAAAGTTGATGAACAAATAATGCTGCTGAAGCATAAGCTTAGAATGATATACTTAGGAGAGGCCTTCAATGGGAAGCCAACTAAGACCGCGCGCTCTCACGGCAAGAAATTTCAAGTTTCAGTCAAGCAGGAAATTGCCAGAATACTGGTAATTATATATATAAACCATTTCTTCTTCAATTCTTATGTCCGAAGATTTTGGGTAGAGTAAAAAACCATGATTTTGGAACAGGGAAATCTAGCCTGGGCTTACATGCAAAAGGGCAATTACATTGCATCAGAAGTTGTATATCGTAAAGCACAAATGATCGATCCAGACACGAACAAGGCCTGCAACCTGTGCCATTGCTTAATGAAACAAGGTCGATACGAAGAAGCTCATGCAGTTCTTCAAGAAGTATGGCAGTATAAACTTCCAGGTTTTGATGATTTGAAGTCGAGAAATCGTGTTGAGGAATTGTTGTTAGAGCTGCAGGAATCTGGGATGCCTTTGCCTTCATTAATGCCAAATCTTCCTGAAGATCTAACTTTTGACGATGATGATTTTGTTGAAGTGCTTGAACGTGTGATGAATGAATGGGCTCCTGCAAGATCAAGAAGGCTTCCAATTTTTGAACAGATTTCTCAGCTTAGAGATCAGATGGCTCGTTGATCCTTTGTCTTTCTCATTTTATCAGTTAGAATTTGTAAAAGTATTTTTACAAAAAGAAAATAGAGAATAAGTATGTGGAGTAATGGTTTTAGGGTCTGTAAATTGATGTACATGAAGTTGGGACTTGGATTTGACGAAAGAAATCATGTTTTCCTTCTTGGGACTTCAAATCTTGAAGAAATGGCTACCCACACACATTGTTTATTTTATTACACTAGGTTTACTGAGTTTTAGATAATTGTTATAGTTAGAGCACTCAATTCACATTACATTATATGAATACTGTATAAAAGATGAAGTATTCTGTATAGTGTTTAAAGGGGAGAATGAGAAAATGTTTTGATCGTCAGTTCATATGCCAAAACATTGTATTAAGAATTAAGGTTTCATCTTAAAAGATTAACCTTGTTATGAGGAGTAGTTCAAGTATTATAAGTTGATTTATATTTTCATTTTTAATCAATGAGAAATTTTATCCATTAACATGTTTTCGAAAGATGTTGGTTTGTTTGAGCAAATCAATCTTGGAATTCATGTGCTCAATTTTTAGTTTTAATAGGACCGAATTGCTTGTTGAAATTTAATGGGCCTTGATACCATATTAAAATTTGATATTTCATTTTAAAATGTCAATTTTATTATGAGTAGTCAAAGCTCTTATAAATTGGTCTATAATGTCATCTTTATTCGATGTGAGATTTCATTCCTTAACACATTAGACTATATTTTTTAAGAAACTCATTCTAAGTCAAAGAAACATTGACTTTTTCTGTTTCTATAAAGGGTAGCATTACACTGCCAGAAAAAGTTTTTACAGAGGCTGTACAGGCCTCTCACAATGAAGGAGGTCAACATTTTTTGTGCAATTTTTATTTATATGGGGCCGACGTGGAACCTACACTCATATGTGAGTGCCCTGTGCATTACCTGTGAAAATCGACCCTGAACGTCTAGTTTTATTCTTCTATAAATATCCATGTTGAGAATCTGCTCGAGTTTACCTAAGTCTTTTATTTCAAATTCTTTATTCAATAGAGTTCAATATTTCAATTTATCATGTGCTCTTTTATTCTATCAGCTATCAACCACCTATAAGATTAAAAATAAAGACATTGGCATGTGCCGATGTCTATTTGCTCTAGTGGTAAGGACATTGGCATTGCTGGCTGAGGTTCCGTGTTCGAGTCCTCTTACCAGCATGGGTATTTTCATTTTTAATCAATGAGAAATTTTATCCATTAACATGTTTTCGAAAGATGTTGGTTTGTTTGAGCAAATCAATCTTGGAATTCATGTACTCAATTTTTAGTTTTAATAGGACCGAATTGCTTGTTGAAATTTAATGGGCCTTGATACCATATTAAAATTTGATATTTCATTTTAAAATGTCAATTTTATTATGAGTAGTCAAAGCTCTTATAAATTGGTCTATAATGTCATCTTTATTCGATGTGAGATTTCATTCCTTAACACATTAGACTATATTTTTTAAGAAACTCATTCTAAGTCAAACAAACATTGACTTTTTCTGTTTCTATAAAGGGTAGCATTACACTGCCAGAAAAAGTTTTTACAGAGGCTGTACAGACCTCTCACAATGAAGGAGGTCAACATTTTTTGTGCAATTTTTATTTATATGGGGCCGACGTGGAACCTACACTCATATGTGAGTCCCAGGGCACATCTCCAAGTGATAAAAGGGGAGGATGGAGAAATCCAGCTTTACTTGAGGCTGCTGCGTCAAGGGTTCGAATCCTGAAATATGGATTTGGCTCTTGGGTAAGTGCAAGTGTACAAGCAGCCTTTTCGAGTTTACCTAAGTCTTTTATTTCAAATTCTTTATTCAATAGAGTTCAATATTTCAATTTATCATGTGCTCTTTTATTCTATCAGCTATCAACCACCTATAAGATTAAAAATAAAGGATCCATTTTGTAGCTCCCGAAATAAACATAATGATCAAATTTGCTTATTGTCACCTGTGCCCTATGACAAATCTGTGCACTGGTGATTGTTTCAATTCATTTAATGATTTTACAGCAACTTCTAATCCCTCTGGCTAAGTTATGTAGATTTTCCTCCTTCAAATTACGATGTTTTTAGATCAAGTTCAACTAGTTCTAAATAAATTGTGCCTTAATGACGAACAAAATTCTGAAGGACAAAAAAAAAAAAAAAAGTTAAATAAAGGTGAAAGAATTTCTCGTTGTAGTCAACCTTCATTCTAAGCATTACCTTTAGGCGTTAGTTACCAACGTTATCTTGAATTGCACCATATTCTTATCAAGAAGTTCATCTTTCTTCATATACAATATTTACTTCCAATTGCATTCTTGTTCCTGTGAACCATCGTCTGCTTCTCGAAAAGTCTTTCTTACTGTCATGGAAGAACCACCACATGTTTGAAAACTATGGGAAACATTAAGTGTACATCACTTTTTGTATACTATTGTTTTCAGCCCTCTAACAAGGATGGAGCTCGCGATTATTTTAATTGTGGGCTCCACCCATTGTAGTGAGAAGAATGTAAACAAAGCTGTCAAAATTGCTGAATTGTAGCACTTCTCCAAAACTATTTGGGATAATAAGAGTTTTTTGGAATTCCGCGTCATGCGAAGTACCATTTGGTTTTTTTCTTGAGAATCTTTATGTTTTACTTAGTATCATCGTTGTTCAAAATAATCTTTTTCGATCTGGACACCAAAGATGATAGCTTTTACTCTCGAACTAATTTCAAGAACAATGATTTTACTTGCCTTCGAATCCAATTTACATTCTTTCACACGATGGTAAGCAATGGAAGAAAAAAGCATTTAAAGATTTGTATCATTTGCAGGTTTTCCATATCACGTTTCCGTAAGTGTTTTGTCATTAATTATAAAAGATGGTAGGCTTAACCTGCCTGTTCTAAACCCTTCTATTTTTCCTCTCTGTCTGAATCTTAATTATCTTTTTCCATTGAAAAAGATATCTAATGCTTCCAATTACATGTGTTGAAAAATAAAACAGATCAAGGTAATATATATAACATGATATAAAGTATATGATCGTAAACAAACAAAGATAAAAGGCAAATAATTAATTGACATAGGAATAGAGTATTTTATTCAACTGACTAATATGGAGAAAACAAATACAATAACCGTGTCTATACAATTATTCTATATTACAGTAATACAAAACTTGCCAAAAGAGTCTAGTATTTATATGATGAATGCCAAATCCTAGAAATACCACAAATATGATAATAAAATGAAAAATCACATGGAATGGAATAAAGAAAAAAATATTTTTCCAAAAAACTTTCAACCTAATCAAGGTTTAAAAAAAAAAATAATAAATAAATAAACCAACAACCTTCACCTTGACACAAATTTCGATGCAACGAACGAAACTTTAAAATTTCTCTACCTAAAAAAGTAAATCAAACTGCAACGAAAATTTTGAATTTTTCAACAAGAACAAAACTTTCTCCAATACAAAAATACTTCCCCTCTTCCACGCTATCCAACATAGATACATGACTCCCAAACACCAACTTCCTCAAAATTTAGAAAAAATTTAAAATTACCAGACAATGTCGAAGCATTGTAGCAGAATCAAGTTTCAATGCTTTCATAGAAGGCCCCTGATAGTCTCAACACTTTTAAAAAGTTAAAAGCATGTGCAATCAAATCGACATCCATGTACATATCTCCAATGGGTTTATCAATAGTAGTTGAATACAATGGAATAGCAAGCAATGGTGGCAAAGTGGGATTACCTATATCCTCCAAACTCGACTGAGTAGTATTCTTCAATATGAACCTCGAACTAAATCCCAAAGGTGCAGCACCAAATTAAATCTCCACCATGGTACGAAATTTGTGCTGGCTTTTCTTCATAAATCATGCCCAACCTTACAAGATATATAATTGAAAACTTTTTCACCTCTCGTTATTACCCATGACAATAACACCTTGTATCATCGTTTCATATGTTTCCAAACAAATCCTAATTGGGACATATATAGAACGCACAAGCTATATCCAAAATCAACTCTTCGTCAGGTTTGGATTCTATGTTAAAAATCGTCAAAACATCTTCATTACTCAAATAATTCTCTGCTATATTAGTCTCGTCTAAACTTTTTGATTGATTCACATGATTTGCAGTCAAATTACCTTTATTCTGCAATTTGTTACAATCCCTCTTAATGTGCCATTTCTTCTTACAATAATAACAAACCTGATCATTGAAATTTGACATCGACTTACCCCTTCTTTGATCACCATGAGCAACAAGACATTTTTCATCTCTAAATTCAGATCCAACCAGATGCTTTATCTTCTCTTTTGAAAACAAGGCATCCTACGCATCTTCAATGGTAAGAGTATCACGATTATACAAGATCGTGTGCCTAAACCAAGTAAAAAAAAAGCCCATAGTGAACACAAAAGGATTAAGGCCAAATTTTTTCATCTTACTTTACCTCTAAAGTCTTCAAATCAACGACAAATGATCTTTTAAAGATCTGTCTTCTACCATCTGAGAATTCAACCTGTATTTCGGATGTAATTTGTTTATCAGACTTTTAGTCATGCTTCACTTTCAACCACAACGCAATTGTTGTTTTCTCTTTCAAAACTTCTTGAAGAATATTTTTAGAGAGATGAAGACGGATCTGCGAAAGTGTTTTTCGATCCTTCCATTGTTTCTCCCCCATCGTCTAAGTTGTGGACATTTTGTCAAATCTCAACAATGTATCATCCAAATTCATCTGCACAGTACAAGTCACATCTTCACTTGCCATAACGAGAATCTTGTATTATGATCCAAGAGGGAAATTTCAAACTTCATGATTGCCATCAATAACAAAAACCTCGAACAAATCACAATCAATGTGTCTGATACCACTTGTAGTGAAATAAAATAGATCGAGGTAATATATATGCCAAAGATATGAAGTATATAATCGTAAATAAATAACAAGATAAGAGATAAATAATTAATTAATAGAGGAATGAAGTATTTACTCAATTGACTAATCTAGAGAAAATAAATACAATAATTGTGCATACACAATTAATCTATATTTCAATAACAAAAAACTTGTGAAAAGAATCTAGTATTTATAGGATGCATGCCAAACCCTAGAAATACCACAAAAATGAAAACATAAAAAATTACATGGAATAAAGGAAAAAAAATTCCAAAAAATATCCAACTTAATTTGGATAAAAAAAAATTCCAATAGTATATTGCCATATGTAATATGTGAGGACACATTATCCCCATGGATATGTTTTCTCACCATAAATTAATCGTTGATCGTCTTTTAGTGTTAAAATCCACACGTTGAATTAGTTACTTTGAAAATGAATATGCACCGACGCATAAAAAGGGCCCTCAACACCAAAATTAGTTCGACAGGATATGGTAGGCTTCGTCTTGCATTCGGTATGCTCTGTGACACTTATCCATTTTACAAGCATACTTGACAATAGAAATTAATGATTAAGGAAGGTGCTTGCCACTAATGTCGTAAATCTCGAGTCAAGTTTCTGATGTATGTAATACGGCGATGGTATTTGATTTTAAATTGGCATATATAAAGTACGATTTTAAAAGTTGGAGTTGGATAGGGACGATTTGAGTTGAAATTTACCCAAATCGATCAAGTCGGTTTTGATTTCGGATTGAGCCCAAAACCAATTCAACTCGAGACACGTCCAAATCTACTCACAATATGTGGATCAAATACATATAATTACGCGATTCACATCTTATAAGCCATATAAATAAGAGCGAGCATCCAAATAATTCTTTCTTATAAGTTTTGAGGTCTTCAAAATTTTGGAAGCCAAAATGCACACAACTTTGAGTCCTACGGTTTATAAATCAAATAAATTAGAATTTTCGAACTTATTTGACTTATAAGTTATGGACCCAACGCTTAGTGTATTGCGATCCACACAATTTGCACGCCTCAACAGTCATAAGGAAAAAAATTATTTTGATGCTCACACTAATTCAATGTTTGTTTGCACTTTTATAGATATTTGTTTTTACCTAGTTTATAATTGAACGGCTAATTTATTTTGACATAAAAAATTATTCATATTTAAGTTTACTTATAATTAGTCAAATGATCGACGAAATCTAACAAGATTGTAGACGAATAATAAAATAGTGAATAAAGTATCATTCATTCGAAGACTAGGTACTTAATAGAGTTCTAATTAATATCAACTCTAATCGAATAGTCAATTAATGATTGTTGATTTCTAACACTAATTATCTAATCTAATCTACTGAACTAATAAGAAAGCGTTTGTAAAATTGATTTAAAACATGTACGAAGACTTCGAATCACCTTTTATTAATGTATTTTAATACAACTCAAGACTATGACAACACTTGTATATGATTATTGACTAATGTTGTTTAACAATCTCTCTTGAACAAAATAAAGATCACACAAAAATTTAATCAGTAGTTAATTAACTAAAAACCATTAAATTATAAAACAATCGTCCCAAATAAATAAAAATAGTAACATTAGAGTCTTGAAATTAATGTTAAAACTTCATAATAAAGGGTTCATCTATGTCTTTGTGACTAAAAGTTTAGTTTAGTATCATCAAGTTACAAGAAATCATATAAGAATAATGAAATATCACCTCAAAATTCAAAAATATGGAGAAAAAGAGGAAAAGTTTTTCGAATTATTGAATCTCTTCAAGCATCCTTCAACAATTTCCAATTGCACCTTCTTTTTCCTTATCCAAAAACCAAGAAACAATCTTCAATAATGCATTCCTGGTGCTTTGTATCTTAATTCTCTTGAAGAGTAATTTTTGGCTCTCTCTCTCTCATTTTTTTTTTTTATCGATAAATGTGTAATTTTTGGCATCTGCCTAAAAATGGGCTGTGTGATTGCACGGCCTATATGGGTGCAATTATACAACCTAAGACTTTTGGTTAGTTTTCTTAGTTGCGATCGCATGGAGTAAACATCTTAGCTCGACGTTTACTTTGATCCCTGAATTCCTTCCTTTTTTTCAGTTTAAGTCCTTTTTTTGTGCAATTTAAGCCATTCAACTTCCAATATCATCCAATCTGATATATGTCTTCTTCAATCATCATTTTATAATCCAAATCAACTTTTAGAGTTTTACAATTTAGTTATCGAACTTTATACTTCTTCCTTCTTTGGTCCGATTTCACTTTTTTCATCAAATGTCTTCCAACCTAGAGTTAATACCACGGCAATCGATTTTTAACCAAATTAAGTAGTAATTATGCCTTTGTTTGATGGGAATTAAAATCATATTTTTAGTAAATTTTGATAGAAGTTGATGAAATGTGTGACAGAAAAATTGTGAGATCGTTAAAATATGTGATTGAAATGAATTTTTGACTTTAATTTATATTAAAATTTTAAGTTTAATCAGTACCGAACAAGGGCTATATGTAATTAGTGTATAAATTTTCACTTTTGACCGTTGGGGTAAAGTAGATCACACCTATTAGGCTATCACCAAACGTTGTTGAAATGAAAAAAAGGCACAAAAAATGAAATGAAATGGTCGGACCGAACAGAACGGGGCCCACATTCTTGTTCACGTTGGCGGCATGCAAAATGTACACGCAAGTCGCAGCTGCTTCGTCCTTGCAACCCCCTTCCAATCTTCTACTCTCATACTTTCCTCTTTCCTTCAGAATCTCTTTCAAAACTTCAATGGAAGAATAAATGTTTTTTCTTACACTGTAATTTCTCTGCACCGACTCTGTAATTAATATGTATATTTATGTTGTATGTATGTATTAATATGAAAGGGAAAGGTTTATACAACTTTTCACCATTTCTTCTACGCACTTTCATCCGAAGCTTTCTCGTGAAGTCCACCCAATTTTAGCTAAGTGACTCTTGGAAACCCCGCAATTTAGCATCAATTTTGGTGAGGGCAATTGCTAGACCTTTTTTTTTTTTTTTTAATTCGGCGACTTCAAATTGTAAGCGGTGATTTTCGTTCGTATTCTATCATTTGTTGGATCAATAGTTCTTGATGCTTGTGGGGATAGATGTATATGCTTATAATTATTTGTATTTATCGATACATAATAAACCATCTGTTCATGGTAGAATTTGGGGTTTTGAGATTTTTGGTCAGGATTTCTTTTCTTGACATTTTTTTGTGGTTTCCGTTTCTGGGTTTATATTTGCCTAAATATAGATTTTAAGAGGGAATGAAATGGAACATGGAGATATTTTTTTATTTTTTTCCTTTGTTTCTTAATTTTTTAAAAAAAATTCTGGGCAAAGCATCTTGGAAAGTTTGATTAAATTTTGTGATTATTATGGGTTATTAGCGTCCCAATGATTCTCTATTATCCTGGCTTGCATGGAGAAAGGTTGATCGAAATGTCATGTTTTGATGATATATTATACAATGAACATGGACCTTTTAAATTCTGCAGAATTAGCAGAATCTGATCTGCACACCCATCCATTTATGGGAGGGTTTTGCCAAAACCTTGTGAAGTTGAGTTCAGGCTTTGCTTGGATTTGTGTTTATTATTTTCTGCGTTGAAATGATTTGTATTAGTCTTCATTTCATAGATTCAATCTATGCCCTGTAAGTTCAGGTCTTTTTTAAATTCATTTTTTGTTTATGAGCACTGCATAATTCCTGAAGCTCGCTATTTGATTATAAAATTAGATGTTATGCCACTGACCATTTATAGTCCATGTTACCACTGCAGGTCATAGGACTCGCTACTGTGGCTCAAGATATTATCAATATCTTTATTAGAGGTCGTTTTGTACGTTGTGTGTTACTGAAGTGTACTTAAGTTCTTGGAACGGGTGGCCATCATATATGCTTTGAAGTCAAATATAGATACTGTATTTCTTTGGTAACTTTGATCCAGTGTCGATAAGATTCAGAGGTGCCAGTAGAGAGAAAGCCCGACACCTTCATCGGTGAGTAAAAATGTATTACCATGTAGGATTGCATTGCGTCAATATTACTTTCACCAGGTTCAAATTTTTGTTTGTTGGCGTTTGTTAAATTGTCTTAATTTCTATTTTTGAATGTTTAGACCTCTGATTGTACACACTTGAATTCCTACTGTGGCAGACAATTTTTCTGGTTCGACACATGTTTTGTCTTCATTATATTGAGGAGTCGGGATTTTAATATATGTTCACCTTTGTCTTTCCTGTTATTAGGAAATTACTATGGGAAGGAAACATTTTTTTTTTTTTTTTGGGAGCACCAACAGATCCATAGGTGGCTCAGAGTTTGTTATCTCTAAGATCTAGCTAACTTTTATGAGTTCCAGGAAGCTTCCTTTTGAAGTTCTATATTTATTGGGGAAGGAAAGGCCAAAAGAGTATGAATAAGGATAGAAGAAGTTGAGTTAATAAGCACTCTAATTTTCCAAAAAGTGTTGGGATATATTAGTTTGATTTTTCATTTGGCAAGCTTAGTTTGATCTTACATAAAATAATCGGAAAATGTGTGAGAGATGAAATTTAGAGTCTGGTATGATAGCTTTATAGCTGTTTCAGATTTTTTAAAGGGTGGTCGTTGTCAAATGTGGCTTGAATGTAATGTACTGTTCGATTGGAGCGATGAAGTCAGTTAATGTCCTTTTGGCTTCGTTCTGATCCTTCTATACCCCTCATTTCTTTTTTGTTCTTTTTCTTTCTTTCCCTGTTTGATTTCCCCAGCTCTTTCCAGTTTTAGATATTTGTGGCCTCTTCTTTTAGACAAGCATAGTTGATAGATGCCCGTTCTCGTATCATTCCTTTATTGTCACTGCTATTAGGTTTGTGTGGCATTAAGAATTCTTAAAATCCACACCTAATAACTGTTCAAATTCTGGATTTTTCATTTTTCTTGGGGTTTGTTGTCCTTATCTACAGGAGAGGATGAAAGGGCCTTTGGGGTGGGAATGGTAGTAGGCTAGCTTGATATTTTAATCATGGGGATAAGAAGCTATGTATTGGGTTGATAATAAATCAATTAGAAATTTCTCCTAACAGTAATTGCATCATATATACCAGCAGTATAATGTCATGAAAGACTTTCTTCTTGCTCAGCTTATGTATTTCATAAATGATGTTATGAACTGCCGTTTTTTGTTTTGGATTTTTTTTTTTTTTTTTTAAATGTATAGATAATTAGCGATAATTTTCGACTTATCACAAAATGTCGTGCTTGCATAAACAAAGATAATTTGTGGGGCCCGATTGATTTTTTGATCTACTATTACTTATTAGCTGTAAAAGATAGTGGTGAAGTCATGGGATGGAAGGTGCAAATCGAGAATAATTTCTTCTCATATAACCAAGTGTGCTGAGCATTCCCTTGTGATGGTTGCTGGAATCAGATTTTCGTTTGTAATCTTTTATATTGTCTGCTTCATCTGTTCGAATATGATTTGTAGTTTTGGAAGTAGGGCAACCATTAAGGTCTCTCTCTCATGCATTAACAGACAATTTAACACAAATATGTACTCTCGGACACACCGTCACTTATGGCTTGAAATATTGCTGGATTTCTTTTGTCCATTTTATGTCTTTTGAAGTAGTTTCTTATAAATGTTTTTCTACCTGTACAAGAAGTGTTATAAATTCTATGTTTGTCATGGGATACAATAATGATTTCTACTACCATTTTATAGATTAAATTATATTTTGTTGGTGTTCTTTGAACCGTGCTGAAATATGGCCGTTATGCTAATAAATTCAATATTTGAAACTTCTCACAGTGCAAATAGATGGCTGGTAGAAAGCGAAGCTTATCCAATGATGCAGATATGTCTGCTCTGTACAAGGAATTGGATGAAGTTTCGTGCCCCATATGCATGGAGCACCCACACAATACTGTTCTTCTCATTTGCAGTTCTCATGCTAAGGGCTGTCGGTCATACATTTGCGACACTAGTTATAGGCATTCAAATTGCTTGGACCGATTTACAAAACTTACAGGAGAAAACACAGACAGCTATACTTCATTAGCACCCAGAAGTCTGCATGATTTTATTAATGCTTCTAATAGGAACTTTGACGTGAGAACTTCAAGTTCTTTGACTGGGGATCATGTGGATCACGATCTTAATACAAATAACACTGGGACAGCTGTGGAAATGCCTGGTGGATCTGGAGGAAGCAGCACATATGATGCAGTTTCTGACTTTGCAGAACAAGAAGGAATCTTGTGGGAAAGTTTTGATCTTGGAGAGAATAACATGGAGAAGCCAGAACCACGACCAAATTTGAGATGCCCTTTGTGTCGTGGTAGTGTTCTGGGCTGGAAGGTCGTAGAAGAGGCCAGAATGTATCTCAACCAGAAGTCCCGAACTTGCTCTCATGAATCATGCTTGTTCTCTGGTAACTATGGGGAATTACGTCAGCATGCTAGAATGGTTCATCCGACAGTCTGCCCAGCTGATGTTGACCCATCAAGACAGCAAGCCTGGCAACGCCTTGAAGAGCAGAGAGTGAACAATGATATTGTCAGTGCCATTCGTTCCTCCATGCCAGGGGCAGTTGTACTTGGTGACTATGTGATAGATAATGGAGATAGGCTATCAGGTGAAAGGGAAAGACATGTACTTAGTGAATATGCGTTTGATAACGGAAGTGGGCTATCAGGTGGAAGTGAAAGAGTTCTAGGCGACTATGTGTATGATAATGGAAGTGTGTTATCAGGCGGAACCGAAAGAAGTGCTGAAGCTCGTAGGTGGTTAAGCACCTTCTTCTTGTTTCACATGATTGGTTCAACGGATCCAGCATCCGAGGGAAGAGGTGTCAGGTCAAGAGGTTTGGCAAGGCATCGACGCCCTAGTGGACCTTTTTCTAGACGGCACTATCTTTGGGGTGAAAGGCTGGTACAAGATGATGATGAGGAGGTGGAGGATGACAACAACGATGAAGAAGAAGAAGATCATAATGAAACCGATCTGAACACATTGAGTGATATTGGTGTAGATGTTCATTCAAACCCAAGAAGGCGTCGAAGGCTGATGCGTTCTAGGTCAGATCAAGAACAGTCTTAAGACTTGTTGCAAGTGGCTCCGGTAGTCTTCCTGTTTATTTGTGGACACAAGTTGATATCTATGTAAAAAATGTGTTGATTTCTCTTGACTGACCAAGTTGTGATATTTCTAACCATGTTTAAATCATGTGCAGTTCAGCATGGGCTAGGAAACAGATCCATCAGCTCAGAGCCTGATACGCCGTCTTTCTCTAGGATCTGTTTGCAGCTGTGGGTTCCTTCAGTAGTGAGGGGGGAAAGATGGAACAAGGTTATTTAATAGGGAAGGCAAGTGTTTGAACTCTAGAAATTTGTTATTTTTAATATATTCTGTTGGAGTTGATGTCTTATTATCATTTTTGAAGTATCGTGCTAGTTAACACGTTGGCCTTTAAATTTTGAACTTTATGTCTTAGTTCTAAAGAGTGTCGTATTCCTTCTTTCTGAAATCCACATGTGTATTTTATGTTTTGAGACATGGTAGTGAACGGTAACTTCTTCTTTGATTCTGTCTAGTTTTGTCTAGTCAGTGTAGCAAACATGCGAGTTAAAATAGATAGCATATTTTAGAGATAGTAGTTGTTTCCTGGGACTGATCTGTCTAATGATCGGTGAGACATTAGCACCTTTGCATATTTAGAGCATGTGCCTTTACTTCTTGCTATGGTGATGCTATGTTCTATACGCTATTTGAATTTGAGGTTGAGGTGTCAAAGAGGATCAGATTGCAGACCTGCTCTAAAAAGGCCTTGTGGCTAACCCTATGGTTGGCTATATTAACAGCATTCTCTATTTATTTATATTTTTAAATTTTTATTAAATATTATTGGTTAAAAAAAAATTTGTTTTAGTCTTACTATTTTTCACTATTACACAATCACCATTCATATGCTTCTGTTGATTAGGTAAAGATTTGGTCAAAGTAGGCATGTTCTAAACCTAGCGGGAAAGAAAAATTTTAGGTAATGTGAGCAAGAAAAGCGAGTAGTAATTTTCTTGGGAGAAATGCTACAAAAATAGGGTTAAAAACAAGGTGGATACATTTTGAAGCATGAATGAAAAGTTTGGAAGGAGAAGGAAAAAAAAAATAAAAAATCCAAACGAAATACTTTCAACTCAATTTGTCCACACTTTCATGTTTTTAACCCTATTTAACCATCATTCTCCTTTTCTTGATATATCTTTTTGGTAAAAAAAATAAAAATGAAAATTAAGTTTTACAAAATAGAAATTCAACGGCATTGACTACTACTGTTACCATATTATTTTGAAGCCTACTTGGTGTACAACTTTTTTATTCAAGTGGGCCCCCTCAACATATGAGGGGCCGTACACCGACCATGTTGTACAAATGGTTTAACCCATTTTAAATTATGAAAAAGGGGTATACGACGTAGTCTTTTAATTCTTAACATGTTTTATTTGTAAAATTATTATGGTTTTTATTTGAGGTGTAATTATGTGATGTGACAAACATAATGTGCGGCAATACACGAAAATATCACTTTGCTAGAAAATGTTTAACACTTGAGATGATCAGCTCTCACAAAGTGTGTGGGTCCCACGTGAATTAAATAATGTTTGACCTTCGAGATGTGTGTATTCGATCATCTCCTATGTCAACCAGTATGCTCCCCTAACTCAGTTCAGCAATATAGCACACACTTGTCACTGAAATGATTAAGATATAGGAAATATAATAGAAAAATGTAGATTTTCAAAATTTTTAGAAATCAATTTTTGCACTTCTGTTTACTCGTATTTACAAACACTCAAACTACTTATTGTTTACACACATTTAGAGGTCTACATTTAGTCCCTGTTTGAGCCTCCATTAAATTTATAATACAAATTGGGAAAAGTTTATAATTCAGGTGTATTGTTTACACCAATTCACAAATCAGGTACAAAGTTTAAAAATTCAAAATTCAGGTAATTAATTGAAAATATTTATTCATTAAATATAATAAAGTCACAATTACACGATTAATGCTTACAGAATTATTTACTGATCACATATCATTGATTTAATTGATCACATATTATTTCGTGGTGACAAATCAATTATTTCGAGGTAACGGATAATTCAAATTACATGTCACATTTTATCTATGGGTCACAAATCACGATTTATTGCTCATAAATTATTTTGTAGTCACAGATACCTAATTTTTTTGTCATAAATAAGTCAAATAGTTGGTCACAGACGCCTAATTGTTGGTCACAGACACCCCCACCCATCACCGCAACAACCACCACCACAACCATCATCAACATAACAATAGTTGGGCAACACCGCCTCTTGCCTCCACCATCATGAGCACCACCGTGCCGATAACACCACCACAACACCACGCCCACAACACATCACCACCGCACCCACACCGCTCATCTTATAGCATCTATATCCATCACTACTATTCAGATCACATAAATTAGCACACATATCATAGATCGACGCTCGAACCAACGCCATGACGACTTCGTAGCAGTTGCAACGCTCAGATTTCCAACGACGAGAGAGCGCTGTAACCATACTATCGTCGTTGCACCATCATCACATAGTCACCCTCACAAAACCTCACCAACACTACCAATATCCATGCTCCACAAAGAAGCCAGCAGCGCCGGCAACGCGATTCACTGTGAGCGCCACCGTGCAACAGCGCTCACAACGATGCTTGAAGGCGGTCAACGTGACGAATAATTCAAAAGGGAGAAGGGTGGATCTGCAATCGCACGACGACGATTCGTGCTCTTGGCTGGGCGACGACGACTACTACTTAGGATGAGGAGTTCTGATTGCCAATTGGTACAGTCGGGAGCTTACAGCGAGAGAGAGAGGGGGTGTGCCACTGTGTCGTGTGTTTGAGAAAGAGAGAGAGAGAGAGAGAACGAATTAAGGTTTTAATATATAAGGGGGTTTTAATTTTTGATGGAAACTTAATTTATGCATTATTAAACCTTGTGCCTGGTTTTAGAATTGTGTTTTTGAAACACCTAGTTTTTTGTAATTTTCCCATACAATTTCTTTCTTTTCTTTTTAACCACACATTCTCCAATAAAATAATATTACACATAAATAAATAAAAAATTCCTCTTTCAATCACATTCTTCCAAAAAACACTAATCCAAAAATCATAATATTAAATAACGGGGGCCAAACGAGGGCTTATTGTCCACTTGTTCAACCGTTATTTCTATCTATTTATAATTCGAAACTTTATAAACTCTTCCAAACATGCTCTTAAATCAAGCAATATTTTATTGCTTTAATTTCATTTTCTTCCTTTTTTATTATTTTTTTTAAGAGGTACCGATCATTGAGCCCTTTAATTCAAAGAAAATCTGAAAACACGAGGGTTAAGAAGATATCAAAAAACTACTCTTGCATTCAACCACACAGGAAAAGTGATTCATACGAGGCTAATCAACTACCTGTCTTAAAATACTCTATTTCACGTCTGAACAGTAATTTAAAGCGTTTCAGTTGCAAAAAATAAAAAAAGATTTCAATAATTGGTAAAGGTTCAAAACACCAAAATGAGAGAGACACTATCAACGGAAGAAATAAAAATTTCACGAAACTTCGACCCCAACTGCAGTTTTCAAGATAATATTCGATATTTACCCCTGAAGAAAGCACACATTTATGAATTTGGACTCACATGGTAATATTGGGCTTCATTTGGTTCAAATAGTTGATATTCCCCCTCGATTGAAGGGCCACGGACAGAGATCTTAACCTATTAGTGATATCAGTGAATGATGGCCGGGCTTCTGGTTCAGCTGACCAACATTGTTCCATCAGTATCCTCCACCCGCTATCGCACTTTTCAGGGATGGGAGGCCGAAGAGTGTTCTTGACAATTCCTCCTACATGCATGATTTACAGATCAGTTAAAATGATATGATGGACGAGAAAACTCCAATACCCATCCTACCACCTCACCATAAAAAAGAGCAAAATTAACTGAAGAAAAAAAGCATTAGTTCCAGCAGAAAATGACAGACAAATGCTTCTGCAACAGGTATTTTAAGCCTCAACGTGTGTTCCATGGCAAACAAAGATGTGGACTTCAACGGTCAATTGGTCATATTTGAAGAACCAGAAATTGGCTCAGTTTGAGCCATCAATATCACACTAAAAACTGTCACCTTAGCTGGCAATTTCGATGCCAGAATCAATTGCAGCTTTCTTGGTAAGTAACAAAGACCGACCAACAAAAGCACTCAATTCCTCACCAACGCATTCTCACCATGGCAATAAGAGTATGGTTGGAACAAGCTGATCCAGGCTTCTGAGCTCCATTGTTGGGGGGATTTGGTCATCTTTTATGATTTGTTTACATAGAAGACATTGGTTGGGGGTTTTGACAAAGTTCTTCATATACAATGCATTTGTTTTACCCGTCTAACACTAATGCTATGTAGTGCCTGAATAATCCCCATATATGAGGAAAGAGGATATGGGGTGTTGAAAGATTTGACTTTCATTGTTCACTAGTTCCCTTCACTTTGTTGAGGACATTCTCGGAAGTCTTTATGCTGGGTATTCAAGAGGCAGATTATGGTCAGTAGTTTTAAATTTCCTTTTATGGTTATTTGTAACCCTAAAAGTCTCTGTAATTTAAGGCCAAAAAAGCTCCATAGGAAAGAAAAACAAATTTCACAGATTACATAGCTATCTTATAGAACTTAAAATCCAATATCAAACATCTAAATTCCCCCTAAACAGAGAAAAGAAAATCCAAAAAAACTAAAATCTGAAAATTTAAATAACAAAATGATAATACATCAAATAATTGAAATTGACAAGAGTTTCTTGTTCTAGGTCAAAGCAATTTGAATTAATTTTAATATTTGTTTGCCATGTTACACCTGTGGTTATTAGCTTTAGCAAATGATTACTCTTCGTAAAATATAATGGCCATTTGAGTCACTAGTTGATGATATCAACTTACCAATGATGGCCCCACAATGCATATTTGCATAAGGTTCTTCACCAGTTAGGATCTCCCATAGTGCTATGCCAAATGAAAACACATCAACCTGTCGAAAGCCAAATCATATTTCTGGTTCTTTATACTATAATTGTTGATATATATCAGTTAGATACCGCATTGAAGATATTTATAGAAGTTTTTTTACCTTTTCTGATACCCGGCTAGTGCTCCCATTCAATAGTTCTGGTGCCATCCATGGAAGGGTTCCTCGCACACCACCAGATACTAGTGTATTGCGTTTGATTCTTGATAGTCCAAAATCTCCAACCTACCAAACTTTCTCAGTTACTGCCAGTTCATATCGGAGAAAAATGTAAGATTTCTCCCAAAAGTGGGATTGATCACATCCATCCAGGTGAATCCCATCTTCAACTGTAGCAATCTGTGGTTTTCAACACACATATGCACAGAGGCATCTGCCAACTCGGTTTAATACTAATTATCTTACAAACATCACAAGAGAAGAAATAGTTTATTTTGTATTTAAATTAAGTGTTAAAAGACAAAATTTAAGTAATATAACATGACTCTCTCTAACAGCTTAAACTTTTAGATCAAGTGGTTGAACAGGTATCATAACACATAAAAATCGTGGATTCAAGTCTCACAGCCTCCATTTATTAAATATTGTACACATGTTATGCCTTTGATGGGAAAATGGAATCCTCCTACACGTGCGAGGCATGTTAAAACAAGATTAAAATTATATTACACGTAACCTCTCTAACAGCTCAAGCTTTTAGATCAAATGTTTCAAAAATAAGTGTTACCTGGACTCTCTTTGTTCATGTATGCAGTTTAGGGCCATCTTTTATCTTTCAAAACATGAATTGTTAAAACTTCTAGTTATTATTAGAAGTCGTGTATTGAAAACTGTACATTTTGGAGGATGCAAAATACAAAATAAATCATTTAACTTCACCTCATTTAGAATACTGTTCCCCTATTTATAACACCCATAGTAGCTTGAATCATAGATATTCAAACATGCATTATGGCAATATTAGTAGCCACCAATGTCAAAAAGATGAATTTGCCCCCCCCCCCCCCCCCCCCCCACAAAAAAAAAAAAAAAAAAAAATCTCCTAACCAAGGTTTCATCCCCAAATTACAGAGCATTTTATAATATGTTTTCCTGGTCGGGGAAGCCAGGTGCATGATCGCATTCCTGATGCCAATTTTTTTTCATGAGTCAGAGTAATTAACATGCAGTTCAAAACAATATCCACTCTTCATTTAGTCGTAAGTACCTTGCATATGGGTCGTTGTGGATCTCTTAGATTAACCAACAAATTGTCACATTTCAAATCAAAATGGACAATATTTTTTGAATGCAAGTACTCCATGCCAAAAGCTGCATCCATGGCAATTTTGAGCTTTTTACGGTGATCGAGTGATCTGCAATTTTTATTTCAGAATCTCCTATTACATTATGAACAAGAAAAGTGCAGAAATGAAGTGGAAGCTGGCTTACCTATCCTTCTTAATTAGGACATTTCTGAGCGATCCATTTGCCATAAATTCAGTTACAGTTGCCAAGGTTCCCCCAGCACCATCTAGTACTACTCCATAAAATGCAACAACATTTGGGTGATGGAGATTGGACAGGATCTGCGCTTCTCTCCAGAAGTCTTGTGCCTGCAAAGGCAGAGGATAATGAACATTACATGCATGTTACATTGAACAAGTTTTGCTCAGCAGCCTAAAGAAATACGAGTTGCAAAGAAAGGAAATATATAAATGACCCACCAATCGTTCTCGTTCTGATGATCTCCCAGAGAAACATGCTTTTTTTATTCTCTTGATGGCAACATCTGATCCTCTCCATTTCCCATGATAAACAGTTCCATATGTGCCAGATCCTAACTCGCTCAATTCTTCAAGATCAGCATTCTTTATAATCTGCAAGAAAAGTTGAATTATCAAAAGGCAGAGACTCAAACCTTAAGAACATGTTTAACTAAAATTCCGATATGTGCACTATAATGGTCTTACTTTAATATAAAATCTCTTAAAAAGGGAAACAAAAATAACTACAAAATTGATGTTCAAACATAATCTAAATTAGTTCCCACCAACCCCACACCAAAAAAAAAAAAAAAACTAGTTAACTGTGGAAAAGGAATTGAAGGTTCCAAAGAAAACCAAACACTTCTTGTCAGAGCAATAACTGTAGTGTAACAAATGTGTGAATTCAAAGGACATTACCAGATGTAACTAATATCATTAGCATTTTATGGCTGAAATTGATGCTTAATTAATACAACAATGAAGCTATATAATTATATCAAGAATTAGTTTAGAATGATATGTAATCATTGGCAGAAAGCAACCATAACCACTCTTACCCAAACCCATGCCCCACCTGCTGCTTAAGTAGAAAAGGATAAAAGCTCAGTGAAATTATGACGGATGATAGCAGGACACCTAGCATTTTTGTTATTAATATGTATTAAACAGATACCTGCAAACCATATATGTCCGCTTCCATTTCAGCTATCATCGCATCACTAATCAATTCTTCTTTATGTCCATCGGAAGGGGCATCCTACATCAAGCACGGGCAATGGCTTAAAATTTCATATAGATGAGATGATAATGTGACTAGAGATTCAAAATAATAGAGCAAAAAATAATTTACCTCAGAACTCGAATTCTTTAAAGTGCTCTCAGCTTCAGTAGCACTAGGAGATAAGTTTTCTGCATTAACTGTATCTGCTACTTCTAGGACGATGTTGGAGCGAGATTCGGCAGCAGGCGATAAATGTAAACTTGCGTATTGAATTATAGGGACAGGCTTCTGCTGATGTTGTTCTTTGTTCTTACATAGTTGAGTCTCCTGGAGCTTATGCTGCTCATTAGAAAATTCGAAATGGTTCAACTTTCCAATACGGTGATCAGTGTAATTGGCCAAGTCCTCATCGAGGAGACAGACTTCTCTCCTATAAATAGCATCCTTAGATGAATTCTGCATCAAAGCAGAGTTGTGCAGAATCTTATTTCCACCTGCATTATCAGCAACTGTAGGGTTAAGCAGGTCTTCAGATCCTGTTATCTTGGGTTTCTCAAAACCCATATCATTTGGACCTGCAACAGGTTGATGCTTAGGGACCTCATGTGAAACTAAATCATTAGATAATTCACCATGTATAACACTTAAAGAGCTTCCAACATGAGACTGTTCCCTAGAATTGTGTATAAGCTTGGCAACTTCTGAGTTCTTGTCCCATGAATTGTTGCCTTCTTGTTTGAACCTAATGACCCCAGATGAGGTTTTCCCCATATGATTGTTTTGAGATTTCTCAACCGTTGAATCAACACCTGGTTTCAAGTCTATTGCAGATGATGCATGAATAACACAGTTAGCGAGCTGTGCATCTTGTCTTGAAGAGTTGAAGTCCATTGGAGATGCTGGGCAATTGACATTTTGCAAATTTTTAATTGACTCCATAGCAACCATAGGTGACTTGCTACCACAAAAGTTCTCTACATTGTGTAACAGTTGGCCACTTGTGTCATGCCTGATCATTGTTTCAGAACTCCAACAATTTTCAACCTGATCATTAGATCCAGTTCCGCTTAATGACTCCGAGCCAAGAGGAAACATCAGTTCCACCCCTCTGTTAGATAGAGTTGGCTCCACATTCAGTCGCTTAATATGAACTTGTGGCTCGACAAGGCCAATATTCTTGTGAAATTGCAATGGCTTTTCTTGCAAAGAAACTGGTACTTTCTGTGAAGATAATTGAGGTCTTGTAAAGTTCAAGGTGGACAACGGAGTCATACCTTCTTGTGAGCCGTAAATAGACCTCTCACCTTGTTCCTGAAGCTTGGAATCAGAAACGGCATGAGGCATTCCACGATGGGAACCAATTGAATCATTACATCCTGGCAAAATGCCCATCAGATCATCTGGGCGAGAGTGAAGCTTCTCCGAATGAAATATTCTTCCTGTCATTGCTGCCCTGTCATGACAGCTTTGTTCAAAGTTTCTGCTGTTTTGCTTAAGTCCAGGCGGAGCCACAAGCTCGCCCTGGAAAATAGATTCACTCGAAACATTTGGCTGCATGGTGTCATCTTTTCTAATAGGATCGAGTGAACTGGTCACATTTATGGGCAACTGAGAGTTATGATAGTATGCAGCAGAATAGCAAATGGAACTCTCGGGTGGAGGTGATAATTGAGCATTGCTGAATAAAATGGGGCCTTCAGTACTGCTCCCTGATGCAATATTTTTATACAATGCTGTACTATCATTCCTTCGATCTCCTTGTTGAACAAGAACGGGAGTAATAGAAGGGGATTGATTTGGGAAGTTGATCAAATTCTGGGATTCATTCAAAATATGGGTAAGATTTGGGACACCGGGGCTATCCTTCATTTCCAAAGGATATGGAAGGAAGGGGGGGCTTTCCTTAAAGATTGGGTTGCTTTCTGCATTAGGCAATGAATGGCTCGCTTCCACTGCAGAAGGCTGCCCATTAAAGTACATTGAGGGGAAAGGATCAATCCCCACAATATTATTTACAGCAACAACATACTGATAATCAGATTCATTCTGTTGAACGGATCTGGCATCAAATGTACAGGAGCTTTCAGATTCTCCCAAAGGAATCAAAAAAATACGGAGTCGTTGAGAACCCTCAAGTTTTTCATCCCCATAATATTCCTCGATCATGTTCTGCAGATCCTCATCAGAAGACACAGATATAAGTGCATCAAGATCCTCTCCTGGGAGCTGATATTTAATTGAGTGAGGCTGGGCGCATATGCCAGATGTTTTCTTCACTAGTTCTTTCCATGAAAGATTCTTTCGTATTGATATGATACGTGTCTGTCCCCCTACATATCTGAGTTTCCCATCACCAGGTCGAGGCAATATTGTACCACCGAAACTGCATAAAAACTTTATTTTTCCAGATAGAGAACCATCCGAAACTCTTAATCCTGAAGAATCCAAGGATTTAGAGGATTCAGATTCAGGTAACACTGAAGCACATTGCATTGAATTGGTCTGATCATTATACACTACAGCAGTAGACTTTCTTGGCACGTGTCCATTAGCACCACCATCATTACAATATACAGCTTCATTATTAACATAAATCCCATTCTCAATCTCTGTAGTAGACCCCTTTGCAGAGGTAAATCCAGTGACATCAGAACCACACTCTGAATCCATTCTTCTCAATCCAAGAACTCTTGAAAGGTCCTCATAACATATTTGGTTATTCTGAATTTGAGGCACACCAACCTTCTTCTCATGGTTCAGAGCAACGCCATGCAAGGGAGGAACAACTCTTGAAGTAGCACGATCCTGAAGGAATTGCATTGAAAACTCCTCACCTGTCTGTACAGATACATTGTTATTTACATTTTTCCAAACTGGCACCCCATTAAGCAAAAGGCCAGAGGTTAAATCTTGCTGTGGCCATTGACTGGAAGGACCAGATGCCTCACGAGTCATTATTTCTGCTGGACTCTTGGAAGTATTTAGCTGCAATACAGTTGTTTTCACGCCTCAAATACCAAAATTCTCTTCATCTGCCAAATTTTAGCCCAAATTTACGTTCCAACGTAAATCCTCAAGCCTCCATTTATCTAGTCATTTAATAAAACTTCTATACAGACCCCAAAAGTAAATTCCAATTTCTTTCCAAACCAGAGCTAAATAAACCCAATAGACTGTGGGCCCTACTCTAAACAAGTGAATATACTTCGCCTTTTTACTAATAGCTTCTAGTTGCAAACACTTTATTCATTAGTAAATTACCCTATTTCTATAAACACAAGAAGAATGAAGAATGCATATACGCATAAAATAATACCTCTACAATATATACAAAGGATAAAAAAATCTTTATATGCCCAGAAAGCTCACTGATCGATGATCCCTTCCTTCAATACACAAGAATTCTTCTTCAGGTCATCAATCCACCTTTACTGATCAAGCAATCAATCTGAAAGTCAATAATCCAAGTCTAATCAATAAACATGATCAAATAAAAGTTGATCGGATCTTTAAAAATGAAAAATTAAAGCTGAAAGCTAAAAGCTATCGAATTTTGAAGAATTTTAGATATGGGCCTTGGAAATCCGATAGAATTTGAAATTATACCCGTCCGAGAACAATAGAAACGCTACAGGAAATTTAATAGTATGCTTACTCCTTTTTTATTTTTTTTCCCCCTCTCCGAGTCTCGCTGGTTGATTGCTCTGTTTTGTTGGTATAACTATAACCAGCTATTTTGTTCGATTTCAATATACAGATGAATTCAATTTTTGAAAAGTGTTTTGAATTTGGGAATTTGGAAAGAATTGCTGCAACGATAAATTTGCATTGGATCGATGAGAGAGAAAGAGGAGGGAGAGCGTGGCTTACGCGTCGGAGTGTGACGTTACCGCGATTTAGTTGTCATCGAACCCACGCCCAACTCCGGCACCTTTTTACCTCCAATTAGAATATGGAACGATTTCACTTAAAAAGTCCTAACTCTTGGACGAGTGGTGTAAGTAGGTCTTCAACTATTTAAATAGAACATTTAAATCCTCGACCTTTCAATGATTTAACATTCCGGTTTGCACAAATGAAAATCGTGTGTTTGATAGTTAAATCGACATTCTCTTGTGTTCTTCACTTACCCAACAACCCCCCCCCCCACCAATCGAAATAAGAGGATAATAATTTTCTTAGCATATGATTTGATTTGAATTTTTAACAGTCAAATTATGATTTCTACTATTATAGTATGATTGAACAACTTACCGATAAAAAGAGAAAGATTATATTCACAATTGATCTACTGTCTTGATGCATTAACAGTGCTTCTCTTCTCATTCAGCATAGCAGCATAGCAAAGCCACAGACGGTTAGACGTATGGACTATATTATCAAAAATTGCACATATGGTAACATAATTTGTGTATTCTTTGGTTATACAGGCCATATGTCTAGTTGTTGATAAAGTTTTCATGCTATTGTAGGGACCCAAAAAAATGAATTCAGATATAATATAAGAATTGATAGATAGATTGATTTAACTGCAGCAATTGGAGATTGATTTTCAATCGCGACAATGTTGAAATCTTGGGGTTAAAGTGCTCTATTTGATAGATTGGAGACTTTCTAGAGTTTTGTGCACTGAGTTGTCCTTGACAAATCTTATTGATGGTTATATTTTATAATTTAAAAGGAAGGGATTAAAAAAAAAACACTTGAATTTATTATTTTAGAAGAAGAGTAACTTTAATTTTGTATCCTACGTGCGTATGTGGCGGAAATGTCAATGAAAAGGACCAATTAGCTAATCTGGGATTATAGTGAATTGGGCGGTGGATTTCTTGGCATGGCGGTGGGACGGCAGAAGCCGAAATTCCCAAACTTGAAGATAAAAGTATTTGAATTCAAATTTAAAAATGGCGTCATGTTGTATGAATTACGATTAATTGAAGGAATTAAAATCGGACTAAACTAGCAAATTTAATCCAATTTTAATTAATATTTATCTTTTGAAGATCTTTCACTTACCTTCTTAATGGAACATCAATTCCAACTATTTGATGGACTGATTCTATTTTGTGGGATCGATAATTGAACAATTTTGGTTCACTTATTTTGTTTTAACTAGGGATTATTTTTTCCCGTATCCATCCCACCCCTCAAAATAATGGTACTTGATTAGACGGTAAATCTCTGCTTCGATCGGAACAAGACCCGCAAGTATCGAGTTTAATGGGTTCTTTTATCATTCCTAAGTTTTATAGCAATCAACTCTATTGATTTCAAAATGTAAAATTGGAAAAAGAAAAGGAAAAGAAAGAGCAGTCTACTTCCTTTTCTTTAGCGTGGAATAGAAATCATGAAAGTAAAAAATAAGTAAATCTACACCATTTTTTACGTTTTCTGCATTCACAAATTTCTTTGAGGAGAATTCAATTGAACCAGACTAGTTGAGTGACTTGTGAACACAACACTGTCCAGTACTATGCATTGAGTTATTAAATAATTTTGTACAAGTTAAAACTATTTTTTTAATAATTTTATTTTTTGTAATAAATATAAATAGATGATTGATCCTCCACCATGTTATGCGACGAACAGATTTGACAAACGATCAGGACACACTTCACTTACAACAACAACCAAAACCTCCTCTTTCTGGTGATCTCTTCTTCAAAATTCTCCTCATCTCGCAACCCAACTTCATAAAACATGAATATTTAGGCCCCCGAGAATCAAGTCGAATATTAGAGCTCATCTTCCAAGGAATGCAATTCATCGAATTTTCACAACTATTAGAACAACGAAGTAATAAGTCGAAGTCTATATATAGGAGACCATTTCCCATGCCAAATTATTTGACAAACATATTTGATAAATAATCAAGACCCTTCACTAGATCAATCTTACCATCAAGATTCACTTTGTAAGATCATTAAAAATCTTTATACCCACAACCAAAGAAAAGATCATTAATAATCTTTATACCCAAAACCAAAGAAAAGAAGAACAATTTTACAAGAATAATGTTATTTGCAGTAACTTACTATCGTAGTCACCTTACGTGGCATACATATGACAGTTAGTGATTTAACACATAAATGTGGTAATTTTTTATTGTCTTATGCATCATATCACTAACAGCCACATATATGTCACGTAGGATGACTGCGATAATGAGTGACTGTAAATAGCATTATTCATTTTATAATCCCTATTCCTTTCTCACTTTCATCAACGCCCCCAACCTCCTCTCTGGCGTAGCCCTTCTCCGGCTAAATCGGTTCTCAAACCCCAGCCGTCAAATTTATTTCATATTTCCATACTTTATTTGAATAATGAAAAGCTTAAAATTGATTTTGTTCCTTAATCGTTCTAGATTTGCTTATAGCAAAATAAAATGATACGTTAATCAATTACCCTATTAAAGAACTAAGTTAGCTAGTGGCACGTCTTCTCTTCGCCAACTCCATGAAATTCCAGACTGTAAGACATATGCGTCCACGAATTCACGTTCATACCAATAATTACTACTTAGCTAGTGGTTTTCCCCACATCCATACTAGGACCATGCAGTGTATAGCTTCAATGATTGGTTGCTTAAAAGATGTATTTGATACATAATATCTATCACTATTGTATCGCATAATATACATTAAATTTGTTTGATAAAGATATGCCTGCTTTCCTTTTTACCTGTCCTTAATTATATGTCACTTTCCTTTTTGATGGTATAATTAATTTTTTAATTTTTTTAATATACTCATATTTAATATATTTTGTTATCAACAAATATGAATTATCATATTCAATGTAAGGGTATATTAGAGAAAAAGTAAGCGAATAAGACTTTCAAAAAAAAAAACATGCCGAGTAATGGTGAACACAAATAGTTTTAAACAATTTTTAATTATTTATAAATTAAATTATTTAAAACTGCTTGGAAAATCCAGAACCATTTCTTTGTGGTTTGGTTTTGGTTGTCCATATACATTTGTGCAATGCACCCCGCTTATTTATACAAGACATATAGGGCATATTTGATAGTGATGATAGTGATGAAAATTGATTTTTTGATCGTTAGAGAGAAAAGTGGGCCTCATCTATGAGTGAAAAAGTAAAAAATGACAGTTGAAATAATGAAATAACAATCAAAAAATTGATTTTTTTTTGTTGAAAAATTGCTACCAAACGGAAGCATAGTGTGCATCTTATTTCAAACACTGGTGCCAGTATGTATCAATTGGAATATTGTTTTATTATTAATGGTAGTTTAATGTATGTCATGAACTATACTCGACGTGATATTGTTGACTCTATTAGTAGGCTAAGTCAATATACGAATAATTTGAACATCAATCATTAGAAGGCAATTGTTAGTATTTTAGAGTATTTAAGACATACTAAAAACTTTGAATTGTATTATTCGAGATATCCAGCAGTACTTGAAGGGTATTGTGATGCAAATTTGATATCAGATATTAAAAACTCCAAGTCCATGAGTAGTTATGTCTTCATACTTGGAGGTTCTACAGTGCTGTGAAAATGTTTAATACAAATATGTATAGAGAGATCAACAATGAAATTTGAATTCATTGTGTTAGATAAAGCAAGGGAAGTAGCTGAATTGCTACAAAACTTTTTAGAAGATAGTTCATGCTAAGTAAAACCCCGTGATGTATCAATTACGATAGTCAATCGACAATTTGAAGGGAACATAATGTCATATATAATGATAAATCTTGGCAAATACATCTTAAGCATGATACCATTATACAATTGCTCTAGATGAAAAATGGCCTCACAACTCATTCCCTTCTTCTGCTCATCACCCTCTTTTGCAATTTAGGCATTTGTTAATAATTGAATCATCGGAGTTTGGAGAAGAGTCTCTCCGTCACATACTCATCGACTTTTGCCTCCCCTGTTCCAACGTCGTAGAGTGGATGATGCAGGATGCTTTTGATTTTGGGAGTATTGGCCACAATCAACCAAATAATTGATCACAAATTATTTATTGGTCACATATTAACGAATTTATTGATTAAAATCAACCAAATAATTGGTCACAAACACTCCCCCATCCCCAATCCAATCCAACTTGACCCCAACCCACCACATCCCACTTCTTCTCTACTATTTCCACCACCATCACCTATATTAACTATAACCACCACTGCCTGTATCAACAAAATCACTGTCATCGTCACACTAGATACAACAATGGAACCGTCAAATTCATCGTCGATTTAACAAAACTCACCTCTACCGCCAAATCCACCACCACCACTAGATCGACCACCATCGCCACCAACAAAAACCACTACCACCACCATTCACTGCGTGAGGCTCCACTACTACTATAGCACCGGCACCATCTACAGACACAGCCCAACATAAATGCACCAAGACCAACATAGACACACCGCTATAATCACAGCCCAACAACCCAACCCTATATAGACGCACCATTACCAGCACAGCCCCACAACGTAACACACCCTACCAATGCCAACAATACCATTGCACTGTGACCACCATACGACGTGTTGCAACAATGACGAATCGTAGATCGCTGTAGGGATGAAGTCGTCACCATGGCGATGCACCGCTCGATCTGCAATAAGGGCAATAGGTGCTCATATCGCTGTCTATGACGATGCTCGACCTCGTGCAGTGCTGCTCAAACGTCTTCGCCTCTGATGGCAACCATGAGATAGAGAGAATGAGAGATAGAGTAGAGAGAGAATTGATTGAAAATGAGAAAGGAAATGAATATTAAGGTTTAGGGTGCGGGTATATAGTTAATTGAATATTATAATATTATTATTTAATATTAAAATTTGTATTATCATCTATTTTTTTGTATATATAAACTATAATTCTAACTTTTTTGAAATGCAATCTTTAGAAGTAAGCCTCAATATAATTTCCACATT